CTACTCCAAAATCATGTCAGATAACCAATATTTTCATAGATTTGAGAACTACAGATTACGTATCTTGCACTTTTTCAATGAAGCAACACAAAAAATGGACTACCAAAGTCTAAGCAAAATATTTTAGAGATTTTGAATGAGCAGTCACATTTAAAATGCGCCACATGAATTAAGAATAATATTTGTAGTAACATTGGTGTATTGTACTCGAACAGATGTGAAAATACTTTGGATTACATACTCTCAGGCGTTGTCTGAAGATTTTAGATAAATAAAATTCCAAATGCATTAAAAAATGGTACGTTCTGTCAAGACCATAAAATATTAATCATGATATGCCTATATAGGTTTAAAATTAATTAATCTTATTATTAAGTTATATCGATATATTACCATTACTCATCTATCTATTAATCTGTATTATAATAAAGAAATATTTGGAAAATTTAGAGGAGAGTAATAAATTAAAATATTCATTAGGATTGTCGTTGAATTCCTTTGTAATATATATTCATTAGAATTTAATAATTTCTTGTAGTAAAAGTAGGGTTCTAAATCAATTTAAAACGTGTGTTATATATAATATTGTGTGCAACTAATTATTATAAAAAATATTGATAATGATAGAATATATAACACATTCAATTCAATTATCATCTAAATTATGATAATTAGTAATTTTTCAAAACAAACAAGATGTATATCTAGGTTGAAAAGTCCTTTTTAATATTATTTGTATTATAATAATTAAACAAGGGGTAAGAATTATGTTTTACGTAATAACAAAGTAAGATTACACAATGAGAAAACGTATAGCTCGCATTCAAACTAAATGTAAAAAAGTGATAAAATTAATTAATGTACTATATCAATTGTAGGTGGCTAATAAGAAATATAAAACATATTTGAGATGCACCTTTATTTTTAGAACTTTTATGTCATATATTGCATTAAAAATTGGTATATTAGTCTTAATGTTTAGTTAAAAATATAATTACTTTGTACCATTAAATTATCGATTCTGAATTACTTAATATATTTTTTTAATTTGTTACCATTTTTATTTGCAATATATAACATTATTTCTTTCCAATGATGTTTGATTTGACCAGTGTATTATAAATAAAATAAAAATAATATAATTATTTTCATCGATATAAAATAATATCATATATATATATATATATTAATCAATAATAATTTAAAATAATAAATAGACCTAAAAATATTTTGTAAAATAAGTTACTAATCTATATTAAATTAATTTTATTATATATAAAATAACATAAGATAAACTTGTGGTATATTTTTCTTACATAGATTTAAAATATTTATACTAAGAAATAAGTACAAAACGGATGAAAACTTACAACTATTACCAACATTAACTATGTAAATTAAAAGGAGAAATAAATGACTTGTATGTTATAATATTGTTTAATTACTACTTCAAAGGGAACACCATAATGGTCGTAACATATATTTTCATTGAATATGAAAACGAGTTAGTTACTTAATATTTTATCAAACGTTGGAAAAAATCTAAAACTTTTTAATCTTATAAACAATACAAAACTATATTTTTATCAAATATATAATTATATTTATAAATAAATAAGTAATATTAAATAGTTGTAGCCTAATAAATAATATATTAGTTGGTTAAAACGTCATTATGTAAAACATGTACAAAAATGATATAATAAATATAAATGTGTTCTGATTCTTTTAACTAATAAAATATTACTTGTGAATATAACAAGGAACAAATAAAACAATAACAATGCAATAGCAAAAGAAAAGTTTCAATTATTCTTATATAATTCCAATTTTTTATTCTGATTTTTCTCTTAACTACTTTTTTGTTGCTAGCATCTGTAATAAATTGGTTCTCATAAATAACGATCCTATATTATCAATTTTGAATTTCAAATAACTAATAAAATAAAAAAAAAGTGTAATACATAATGTAGATATTAATTATGACTTTGTAACAATCAATTTCAACGATTACTAAGTGTACGATAATATAATAGAACTCTAATTTTTCTCATTTCAAACATTTTAACAAATGATATGCTTCTCAATATTGTCTCTTTTTTTTTGCCATTGTCGCAGAATAAAAAAATAATCATTATCGTCACTTTTCGAAGCAATATGTATGACGCCAAAAGTTGGGCAATAAAAAAGTAAAGAAGATGTTAGGCACAATATATTACAAATCAGAACGAACGTGAAATATATTATAATAAAAAAAAACTCTAAAATTATTGCAACAACCAAAATCACCAATGATCTGCAAACAATAGATTATATAATTCGTCTATATTTCAAATAAACAACATTGAAAAGAGAATATCATGATCAAAATATTTTTGAATGTCCGAATGAAGTTGTCATTTTTTTATAGTAATATTTACAATCTCATTTGTATATTGTGCTCAACATATATGCAGTTACGTTAGAGTACGTCCTTTCATGTAATGTGAGACAATTTTAAAAAATAATTTAACGCCTCGGGAGTACATATAATCAAGATTTGGAAATGTCAGCATTTATTTAGAGATGAAATTCATTCCCACCACGTGGGGCGATGCCTCCATAAGGTAGATATCAATTTATCTACATGGAGAGAGAATAATGTATTAGTTTATACAATGATAGAAACTATCAGCAATTTTTGTGACAACAATTGATTATTTCATAGACATATTTATGTTAGTAAAAATAACTTCCAAAGATCATACAATCATAAAGTTTGACTATATGTTTGGCTAAAATATTTTTAAGTGTTTGAATAGAGAAGATGTCTTGTCAAATGAATTAAGAAAAATTTTGCAATACTATTGATGTATTGGACTCCAACGGGTATGAATGTTACTTATGAGAACGTCAAAGTCAAATGATATAAAATCACTATTGAATCATCTAAAATAAATAAATAAAAGAACTAATGTATCTATTTTATACATTATATCATTATTTAGTTGTTTAATATTTTTTTCATTAAGTACTCATTTTTTCATATATTTTTCTTGGGTTATAATATGTTATTTCATTCTTTTTAGATTAGGACATCGTTATGTTATTTCATAAATAAAAAATACAATAGGAGCTCATTTATTCTAAATTTTTTTTTCCTGCAATGATATGGTTAATAAATTGATTAATTTATTTTACTAAACTTAATTGGCTAAAACATACAGCACCACGTGCATCGCACGTGCACTTTACTAGTAATTATAAAAATTCCCCTTAATAAAAAAATGAGTATGCTTCAATTTATGAAAAATATATTAACATTTTATTGTTTTCTATTGTATTTAACGTGATTTACTAGAGATATATTATTATTAATACTCTATTATAATTGTACATAAAAAAATAAATTAGGCATTTCATTCATTTATGTGATTTAATAAATAATTGGTATTTGTCATTTTTTAGGTTCAATTATCAAAGGGAATGTATGTTTAGTGGTACATGAGTTGAAAAAAATTCCCAATTGCATACATTGCGGTGCAATGAAATTTCAGTATGAGTGTCCAACATTTTGTTGTGATAATGGGAAAGTCAAACTTGCTCCTATTGAAGTGCCTGATGAATTCATGAATTGTTCACTTCATAGACGGAAGAGGCAAAACAGTTTCGAATAAAAATTCGCCTATTTAACAGTATGTTCTCTTTTACATCATTAGGGGTCAAATTAGATAAAGAACTTGCATTTGCAAGACAAGGAGTCTATTATACTTTTCGAGCTCAGGGAGTAGTATATCATGATCTTCCTAGCTTATTACCTAAAGAAGATGGTCCTGGATATTTTCAGTTGTATTTTGAGGAAACAGAACGAGAGGTCGAGAATAGAATTGGTATATTTTCAAACTCCTCTTTTTCTAAACCTACGGTTAACAAACTCATTACCGTTTTGGATGTAAACCCATATGCAAAAGTTTTTAGACGATTGAAGGACTATCCATCAATGGATGAAGTTCGACTCCATATCTCAAAGGATGCAAAACTAGACCAACGTGTGATTGAAATCGAGTATAATGAAACAATCAGCAGTCTTAAAAAGAAGTGTGTGCGGAAAAATTCAAAAGGAAAGGGAAAGAAGTCATCCTCTCCGATCATCAACATAAAGAAAGAGAAGAGTTGAAGACCATAGTTACTTCTTTAGATCATTTAAATTTAAGAACATTCTTTAGTTAACAATCTTTTGTTACTTTCTTGCTATAGTTCATTTACTTTACATTTTTAAAAAATCGCATCTACTATCTATTTTACCTTAGAAAATTAATAAATATCCTGACACCACTACATACTTTCTATTAACAGTGAGTTTAAGAAAAAATAGTACCATAAAACACACATCTCCGCGTGAACTAAATTAGAAAAAATTAATTTTCTCCACGTGCATCGCACGTGTCCCTTACTAGTAAAAATAAAAGCACCCCAACAATTAGTTTAAATTTCAAGTTAATATATTTTATTAGATTTTTTCTTTTAACCTATAATACGGATCCATATCTATGATATGATATGATTAGACATGGCTATAAGGCGGGCCAGGCCTGGACCCTGCGGGCCGAAGGGTTGAGTTACCTCGATCCTGAGCCGGCACGGCCTAGGTTCGTGCTGGGTTCATGGCCCTGCGAACCGGACCGGACCCGCCTAAATTAAAAGGAAAAAAAACCTGTTTTTTTTTTTCGGACTGGCCCGGCGGACCAGTGTCGTCAAGAAGACCGGCCCATGGTCAATGGATTTGACCGGACCGGATCCGTGCCAGGTCGGCGGGCCGGGTGACCCGTGGCCATTGTCACGCTGTTTTCGACTCTAAAATTATATCGACCCCATTTTCTGTCAAAACTCAAATAAAACAACTCATCATAGCTTAATAAAATTAATTAACTACATAATTAATTATATAATATTTAATTACATAATAACTAATTATATATTAAATTACGACAAAACGGACACCAAAATCACTATAAAATGCACGTAAATATGACGCGTGTCAGCCATTTCGAGATATGATTCCAACACAATCCATGGGGAAAACAATATTTAGGTTGTATATTAAATTAAATACATAAACAACATAAATTGCAGTTTATCGCACATTATGAAAATTTGTAATACACTATTATCTTGTTCACTTAAATATTAATGAACTTATATATAAAACTTCATACATTATTGAACACGTTCTCATAAAGTTATTATTCATTTGATTATTTGGACGACACTATATTTATCGTAATAAAGTATTCTCAATACTTAAAAGTCATATATAGTTTCAATAATTGACATGGTTCGTCCAAATTGACTCCTAACATGTTCGCTCGGGATGCAATCTAAGTCGTCATCTCTTTCCTTTTTTTTTTTTAACTATTTTATAAACTACTTGAAAGTAATCCAATAAACATGGATAATAATTCAATTCAATCTACTTGGTTTGCCCAAATAAATTTCATTTTATCCTTAGATAAATTTAATTATAAGAATGAAAAAATAATCCGTTATTTATGTAGCAAGCGTATATGACAAAGGATAATTTATCAAGATAACGAATTATACAATTAAAGACATTTTTACTCAAAGTGAATGAATTTGTGAACCTAAGTTCAGACTTCAGACTCATAGACGCTGAGCATTAAATCTGGTCGAAATGGAATTACTGAATATCAAACCAGCAAGAGAAACTAAAAAAATGCATTCTGAGTATCAACCTACAAGACATTGCGATCAGATACAGTCTGCTTGGATAGAAACTCAAGATTCATGATTGATAAAATATGAAAATGGAATTTGAGTTCTAATTGTGGAAACACAACTTGCAGCCTCCAGTTACCAATTTTCGACATATAGCAGTTTCCATCAATGACGTTCAGCTTCAGCTGGTTTTAAGAACAAAGAGTGTAATTGTGCAATAGTTACAGGTTCAACCGAAATTGTGCAAATCATGAAAATAGCAAATGATGATGATGATGATGATGCCTTTGTCAACAGAAAGTGATTATTAACATAATCCGTAAGATCTGCTGTNAGAAGTTCATGAATTACATTTATAAACAGTCAAAATGTTAATTAACTTTATATATGTATATATTAATTAACTCCAAAACAAACGAAGGAAATCCAGCCACATTCTCGTGCCTCACGTTACTTATAATATTAATATCAATGCGGCACTTGAATTCATCCTCAGAAATATCCATCGGCTTAAGTTTCTGCACCACAATTTTCACTCGATTATCCATTGTAACTGCATATGTGGCCCCCAAATTTCCCCTGTTGAGCAATTCAGCAGAAGCTAGGTTGACATTTTCCAAGTCCATAGGAGGACTGAAATCTGAACCGATTAACCAGCTTTGTAGCTCTTCCATAAGTCGATGAACTCCCGAGCCTTGCAAGGTCAACAATTACTTCAATAGTAACACACAGTGGGATTCCAAAACACACTGGAGACTGAGACAGAGCACTAAAACATTCCAGATACAGAAATCAATTGTACAGATTCAGACAGGACTTTACAGTTTACACTATCGTATAAGAGAAAACAAAACAGAACACTAGAAAAAACTTTGCAGTTTTCACAGATTTTCATTTGAGAATGAAATGGTTATTGAATGATCAAAAGCAACATGTAATAAGAAAACTTGTACACGCGTTCCAAAAAAAAAAAAAAAAAAAAACTCAACTCTCTGACCAGTAAACTTATTATGTAAGAGTGGGCAATAGATCCTCCAATAGATCTTCCAATCTCGAATCTATGGATGGTTGCTCCCATGAATCTTCTGAACCAGATTCATATAATGGCTCCATGCCACTAATTCCCTCTAACATCTTCACTACTTCAGACATCCTAGGCCTCCGTTCAGGGACACTGCTAGCACATTCCAATGCTATTTGTAAAGTCTGTACCATTGACTCCTCGTCATTTTCATGCCTCTTAAGCTCTAAATCAAACACTTCAGCAATCCATTCTTCACGAACAACAGATATAACCCAGTCAACCAGTGAGAAGGTCTTGGATTCATCTAAACTGATTTGAGATGTTTTTTTTCCGGTGAGAAGTTCAAGCAAAAGAACTCCAAAGCTGTAGACATCAGAAGATTGGGACACATTTCCAGTGTCTCTAAGTTCGGGGGCGCAATAGCCTGGAGTTGGCATAGCTGATCTTCTGACGGGACTTACCAGCTTTGCCAGACCAACATCGGATACAATGCCATGTTTTTGTCCATTAAGGAAGATGTTTGAAGATTTAATGTTTCCATGAACGAGCTTCCGGCCATCTTTACTATGGATATGAGCGATACCCCTGGCTGCATCCACTGCAATTTTCATGCGGCTCTCCCAGTCTAGAGGTGTCTTATCAGTTCCTAGTTTCCCTATAAAGTACGAAAGAGTTTAATCGTGTCAGATTATTATATACAGTAATAAGATTGAATAACTGCAGTTAAAATGTGAAAATAGAATGCTGCTTGTTGATGCATAACTAGCAAATACTAAATACTAATATTATAGGGGAAGAAAAAGAAAAGGAACAAAAAACACATCATTCTAGTGTTAACATTAACCTTCAAGTAATTTTTCATGAGGGATCTTTGTCTCTAGTTCATGCCCATAATGCACTACCTACACAATGAAGATTGCTACCAGTCGATGCTAGAATGGATATACTAAAAATCACTTGGAACTGCAATATAAATGCTAAAAGGGATAACGAATTTCCACAAATAAAAGAAGTCAAGGATCATAACTATAAGTATCAAGGATAAAATATTAAGTAATTAAAAGATTCAAGCCTATACGAACAAAGTAAACTCCAGGTTAAAAGAAAGATGATTTCTTCACAAATTTTTGTTAGGAGACTCTATCCTTCATAAAACAATGAAGGGTAGCTGCCAATAATTTTATTTTCACGTACCATGCAGCGCAACAGATAAACTCTTTTGAGCATAGTGATCATAAACCAAGAGCCTTTCAAAATAGTAGTAGGCCCTCACTTCAGCAACATTTTTGTGCCCGATTCTTCCAATCATATCCATATGTTGCTGAAAAAAACTAAACGAATCAACAACGTCCTTCAATCTCTTAACAACAATTGTGTTACCAGTTTCTAATCTTGCCATGTAACAAGTTCCAAATGTTCCTTTCCCAAGCACGTCAGAAGAAGCCCTAAGCATATCTTCAAGATCAAATGCGGGGTTAGGATCCTCAAAGAACACAAGTTTTCTTTCCACGGGAGCACCACTTATGGGGTTCAAGGAACTAATTTCCTCTAACATCTTCACTACTTCAGACATCCTAGGTCTCTTCTTTATCGACTTTTCGACGCATTTCATTCCTATCTGCAATGCTTTAACCATCTGCTCTTTTATGGTAGGTTGCTTCAACAGATCTGCATCAAATACATTAGCAGCCCTAATCCTGTTCCTTATGGAAGCAACCATTTTGACTAGGTCAACAGCCTCGGGACCACCAGGAACATGAACGCTGGGCTTTCTAGTGAGAAGTTCAAGTAACAAAATCCCGAAGCTATATACATCTGATGCTTGGGACACATTCTCGGAACTCTTTACTTCAGGGGCACAGTAATATGCAGTTGGCATGAATACTGTCTGTATCAAGCTTGTTGGACCGAGATCGGATACGCAACCAAACTGGTCAGGATTACGAAAAACATTTGACGATTTTATGTTTCCATGGAAAAGCTTCCCGCCATTATGTTTATGTATTTCAGTAATACCCCTGGCTGCACCAATCGCGATTCTTAGCCTGCTTTCCCAGTCCACGTTAGCACGAGGTTCACCATTTCTTCCTGGAAAATATCAGAGAATGCATAAGATTACTCATGTCCAATATTCACGACTAGCCTGGGCCATGATGTTGATTGAAGCAATAAACACAGCATAATTAAAAAGACATCATGAAGACAAACTGAAAGTGCTACAAATTAACACCTGGATAATTGATAAATTAAAGTCATCTCCTACTTCATTTATTCGACAGATGGAGCACAATTACGAACCATCCATTTTGCCTTAAAGCATATTCCAAATTGGATTTTTATTAGATATTCTTTTGCAAACTAAGGGACAATGGAGGATTAATAACTTCAACAGACATCTATATAATTTTTCATCTTAAATCACCCCTGCTGATTTGCACTAATGCCCTTGAAAGTGGAATTCAGATATGCAGAGAATATTCAAAGCTAAACAGGGAAATCTCTTATCAAACTTGTAATGAAAATCCTCATAAAATTCTCCTTGACACGGACAAAGAACAAGAACTATATCACTAGTGAAGTTCACGGGTCCAACATACCATGTAAGAGTGAATACACGCTCCCCCAACGGTAATAATCATAAAGCATGAGCCTTTCATCTTCCGAAGAGTAGTAAGCTCGCAATGAAACCACGTTCGCGTGCCTAACGCCTCCAATAATCGCCATCTGGCGACTGAACTCCTTTTGTGAAACACTCGGGTAGAGTCTCTTGACCACGATTCCTACCCCGTTGTCCATTGTAGCAACATAAACGCTCCCGAAGGTTCCCCTGCCGAGACACTCAGAAGAGGCCAGCTGTACATGCTCGAAATTGATGGAGTGACTGAAATCCGAAACGAAAACCAGCTTCGGAGTCCTCTGGTACGTCGATAAACTTTCAAGTCTCGCGAGGTCAAGGGCATCGAGTGAGAGCCTAGAGTTGAAGCTAGAGCTAAAATCCGAAGCTTCGGAGAGGACGCTGGGGCTCCTCGAATGATCGTGAAAAAGCTGCCATAGCTGTTGTTTCTTCAGAACAGCATCAACAAGCCTCTCCCAGTTGTCATATATTGCAGACATCTTCGCCTAATGCCTGAAACTGCTAAACCATAAATTGTCAAGGCTTCTACACAGGAATTATCACAAAAGGGTTCATCCAAACCACTTGCACACATTAATTTAATCACTAAAAAATGAAAATGGCAAGAATGATTCCAAATTTATAATTCGTTGACACGGACTTGGTCGGAAAAGTCAATGCTTTCAGAAAGCGGTAGGTGTGAATGCATGGTCATTAAATTAGGGTAATTAAAAATGAGAACGGAAAATGAAATGGACAATTGAGCTCCTGAGTAAATTCCTGAACAAGTCGCAACATTGACCATATAGCTGGAAAATACAAGGTAACCTTTAGTCACTGTTACTGACTGAATTTTCTATCGAGATAAAAGTTAATCTATGAGAAATTACGACATTCATTCAAATCACACTGTTTCCAAGCAAACAGGACTCACACGCCGGAAGACCATGAAGTTTGCTGGTGAAGATAATTTCTAAGGACTGAACACGCCATTGTTGCGAGTTTGAAGATTTAGGTACCATTTTCAAAACGCGCTCTCTGCTAAGGATTCACCAAGCCGCCGAACCAAAATCAACTCCGAATCGTTTGAAACAATTCCGCCCAAAGTTATACGAGTTTATTTTAAACATAAATAGAAAATTGCATTTTTTGTCTTGTATGTGCCTCTGGAGTCTGGACATTTTAATCCTCTGCGGGCACGTCTGTTAGCCCGGATCGGTCAGGATTAGGCCTCCAATCACAACTTAATCTTGCATTTGTTTTCCACGATTCCGGCCCAGTATATTAGATAGAGCCCGCGATGCACAGTAGACAATTCGGAAATTATAGACTTATCCTTCTAATAACATCTGCGTTTCTTTTTCTTTTTTTGTTTTTTTTTTGTTTCTCCCTGAGCCAAAGGCGGAGGTTGCGATGGGGGGGAAGCGGCGGCGACCACTCGCATGGTGGTTGTGGATACGGCGGCAGAGGAGGGTAAAGACGAAGGAGAGGAAAAAGACGACTAGGAAATATGTCTTTGTCAGTTCTGTTTTTGCATCTCTCAACAGCGTTCTCCACGGATAAAGGGTATAATTCAAGTAATATTTCAAACTATCTGACATATAAAGGGTATAAAATTAAGAAGTAAGAGTATAATATCCAACAAGTTTGGGGTTGATATCGAAAATGATGTTTTTTAACGTGAAGGTATAATATCCAAGTTTGTGGTTATTATCGAAAATAATATTTTATTAACGTGAATGAATAATATACTAACTCACTCAGCCTTAATGTACCTAAATTTATGGAAAAAGTTAAATCAAGATAAAAAATTATTGTTTGAAAATAATATAATTTGTCTAAAAAATAAATAAAACATAAAAGGTTGCATATATTTATTATTGAATGTTATTATAGATGAAATATATAAACTTATTAACGAGGCCATTATGTTATGAAAAAATTAATTTATATTTTGACTTACTGAATATTGGTTATAATTTTGAAAAAAAAACAGACATTTATTTTTATAGCAGAATAATAGTCTTTTTAAAACACAACAACATCATCTCTAAATTTTTTAGTTGAAAAATATTAAATAAAATTTCACAATGTGTTAGGACTAAGAGGGTGAATTAAGAACTAATATTTATAAGTATTTTTCAAAATGTAAAATCTCATGCAAGTTATTTTTTGGAACTAAATTGACATGCTTCAAAATTTTTATAATTTATAAACATTATATTTAATTTAAAATTTATTGTGCAATTAAAATTGATGTGAATTTGTGTTCAAAATAAATAAATTATAAATAAAATTATCGAAATCTATTCATCAATTTACATGTATGTTGGATTAAAAATTGTCTGCTATATATAGTTGCATTTCCTTTGTCAAACATTGCCTTAATAAATTTTATTTAAATAATTCAATGTCTTTGCAACAAATATCTTAATGCATATTTCAAGAAGATTAATTAGCTTCCGTTTATAAATAATTTTCAGTCCTAATAGCTCAATATGTTATTGACTTGATGAATAATGATGATATTGAAGAACTTTCTTTTAATTCAACAAAAAACTAAAAACACAATTTTAAAGTATAAAAGGTGAAATTCTCGCAGCATAAATTCTTTTTGTTCTACAATTAGCCTTGACGTTTTCCAATTCAAGACTACTATTTAAATTCCAACGATGATAATTTTTATTATGTTGCCTTAGGCAATCCGAGTTGATAAAAGTCAACCACTGTTGTTATATGTGAATGTGATATTGTTGTTGAAAAAACATGCACTTAGTCATAACAAAAGATTATATTTTCATTGGCAATAGTGATCATAATAAATTCATATGTGAATGTGATATTGTTGTTGAAAAAACATGCACTTAGTCATAACAAAAGATTAATATTTTCATTGGCAATAGTGATCATAATAAATTCGGTTGGCCTACAACTAATTTTATATATATAATTATTTCAAATGTCTAATAAGTGACATTATTATAAATAAATTGTGATTTGTTTAAATTATAATTCATCAGTATATTTAATATCATACCGCGCAAGGGTACGGTACTAGTTTCAAACCTATATATATAGGATGTGAAGAAAAATATTTATCATGTGTACTAAGTCGAAAGATTAGACTAAGGATAAAGTTATTATTCGGATGTTTAGGTAAAGAAAATAAAAAATTAGAGAGAAAAAATAACAATTAAGTAATTTGAAGTATAAAAAAAAGGGTTTATAAAAAAGAACATTTTATTTAGCTTTCGTTCGGTTGAAGAAAATTATACTTCTATTAGCACTATATTAATTATTCATTAATCTTTCATCTTTGATATGAAAAGTGCAGCAATTGGAATGTAGAAAAATCTCTAATGCTATAATTAACTAATTAACATCAGCTTATGAAAAGAGGAAATGCAATTAACTAAACAAATAAAAGAGAAATAGAAAAATTGAAAGAATTTCATTCATTTGATTGTAAATATTTGCACGTATAACAGAAATAGTTCATGGAAACTTAATTTCTTGCATCGATATCCCCGTGTATGGTTTTCAAAAAATAAATTTTTTTATCTCTATAAATTATTTCTAGAAGCCAACATGATTTATATGAACCAAAATTGACTTCTCTCCAAAAATAGAATTCTTGAATATGTATACCCAAAAATGGTTTCCACAAAGTAAAAAATAATTTCTTAAATAAAAAGTTATATTGTAGAAAAAACATTGGCAAGATTAAATACTAATTACAATATTGAAAGATAAACAAATTTTTGGATCTACAAAATATTGTTTTTCCTAAAACAAAATGGAAACAAGAATTCTAGATAACAAGAGATATATATGAACATACCTTTCTCAACTTGGTTGTGTATTTTCCCAAGCATGCAATTTTTTGGAAGCAAAGTGGTAAGTGGGTTACAAACTTGATGCGTGGCTATTAGCATATTTTCCCCTTAAAGCGCATAAGAAAATGAACAACCAACAATCACATAAAATTAAGCCGATAGAATTTGTCAAACACCATATTCTTCTTCTTCACATCATGATAACATTTACATTCTCAGATCACTCTCAAGCCTCGACCTTCTTTCTCGGGAAGAAGACGTTCAGAAACCAGCCATCCATCTTGGCCGTGAACTCGTCGGGCTCGATGGCATCCATGGGCAGATCCACATTGAACCTCATGATTGAAGCAATGCAGCTGCCTGGGATGCTCTCCTCCTTTTTGCCTTGAGCAATGAGCTGTGATCCCTTGATTTTAACGTCGACTTCATCATCAGAAAGAGGCCCTAAAATCACCTTGAGATGGTAGCCTTCAGTAGTGGGTTTCCATATGATGGGCTTGCCGTCGCTAAACGTCCCTGTATGCAACCAAGATTAATACTAGTGATCTTGGGCTGATAATAACAAAAAGTAACTAATATTTAAATATCTATTATAGAATATGAACCTACCTCTGTTACAGCATTTTCAACAAAAAAGTGTACCAACTTTTTCTATACCATTTTCTCAAAAGGATTTTTGTTAAACCTTTATCTTACAAGGATTTAGCAAAACTAAAATAGGCAAAATTCAAACAAGAATTTATTAAATTCATTGTTCTCAATAGGAATTTGATCTTCTATTATCCAGTATATTTCAAAGAACTATCTTAAATTGCTGCAAAGTCAATAATTAATAGAATAAGGCAATAGGATGTGTCAGATTGGAGAGATTCAGAGATTGAGAGTAATGCGAGATTCAGAGCATAAACGAAGAAGACGAAGAAAACTTTATTATCAGAATGAAAAGTGAGGCTACTGTACAATGAAGAGCCCTTATATATGAAATAACCTAAATAAGTAAAAGTGCTGTTCTAATACAAAGTTGCTATACATTAATACATAAAAAGTGCTAAACTTATTCTTGTACATAATTTATTAGGATGAAATTTTAAAAAAGAAAAATACTCGCAGTGTATTTTAATTGTGAAAGCTGAATAAAATTTCCATTAATCAATTCTCAAAATGTGGGAATTTGAACAAAAAAGCCATTTAACATAAATTATAATAACAAAATAATTACAATGAAGAATATCCATTTTGTCTTGCAGTGTGATACCTAATTTAATTTGTTCAACAACCAATTCTCTTTTTTTTTAAAAAAAGAAATTTTATTTAAAAAACAATATTCTATTTGATATCGAAAGAGACTTCCACTAAATCAATTTGAAGTGGCTCGACTTTGTTAATTTTAGTTGTTATTTCACACAGAGGTAAGTTTTCACTTTTATTTAATGTACTCAGTTTAAATTTTATTTGTTTGAATCTTGGTCAAACATAAACATAATTTTTTTTTGGCTTTAGAAAAAAGATGAAATATTTGGAAATCAGCCTCATCTCAGGTAGGTAGAAAAAATAAAATCACGTAATCGTCAATCTAAACACCAATGTAGCAAATTTTCCGCAGAAAGAAGAGTCAAAAAAGGGGAAAAGTGTAAGAGGGGTAAAATTGAATCTAGAAATTTGGATCTGAACTCTGAAGAGAGAACCTACCGAAGAACGTACGGAAGCTTGCCGGAGGAGCGGCCGATCGAGGAGGGGTGGAGAACCGGAGGCCGGACTGCATGAGGCGACTGAGGGAGAACTTGGGTACGGCCATTCTCGGTTGTGGTGGCTTGTTACGGAAAGGAGGTTTGCTGGTTTTTATCTTTGTTTGCTCTATGTATATACTTGCTGTTGGTGGTCTTCACAAGGTCCCGTTTTATGGAGTTGAGAACAGAAGTAAAGGATTCCAAAATCTTTTCCTGACCTAACGGGCCGCTTAATGGGCTTTCTATGGATATGTAAGGTTTAATTTGGAGGAAATTACACCCCACACTAATTCATTTAAAATATATAACGCTTTTATACCCCTTCAAGTCTTATTTTTAAAATTACCTAAAAAGGCTTAAAATATTTTCAGTTATACCTAAATACAATGAAACCGTTATAAACTTTTTTTTAATGGTAATTAGATATTTAAGTGAGATTAAATATTCACTTACCTAAAAAAGAGGAAATAAAAGATAAATTCATTATCCCAAAAAGCCACCCACCGCCCCACGTCTCCCTCATTCTGCAAACTGCTCAATTTTTTTGCCCAATTCAAGTGTCAATGGCGAAAACTAAAATCCCTCATCCCCATCGAAAAAATCCGACAAATGGTGGCGACGACTCACCACTGATTAGATCTAGTGCCCGGCTTCCCTCAAGTTTTTCGGCAAGTCAAGAATGAACCCTATATCTAGCCGCAAGTTTTCCGGCAAGTCGAGAATGAAGAACCCTATTTCATCTCTGGGTTCAGACGAATTCCAGTGAGACCAAAATATACTGGAAAAGTCTCGGCGAACTCGTAAATTGGAGAAGCCCAAATACACCGACAAAGATATGAACGAGGAAGACCCTGATTTCGAGTATGAAACCCAACCCGAAGAAACCGGTAGCGAAGAAGATTTGGAAGAAGAAGACTCCCCGGTTGAATTCAAGTATATAATTAGTATAATTCAAGTATATGTGGAATAAGTTTATTATGTGTTTGTATTTTTTATGTAATTCTAACAATTATATGTGTGGACTGTATGTTAGTAATATTTAAGTTTATTTACTGGTACATATATCATACTGTCATTGTGTTTGCAGTCAAGTACAGTTTTGTCTAAAATTGTGTTTTGTGGTTGTTCACTACACGTGTAGTATATTTTCGGTATATTCAAGGCATATTGCAATGCTCAGTATATAGTACAGATTTCTAGTATATGCAAGGTTTATTTGCATGATATTTAAGTTAATTCTGCAACTATTTGTCATACCATTTGTTTTTTAATTGCAGTGCATATTTTTTAGTATAATTCAAGTATATTGAACAGCACACATGTTTAGTTCAATGATATTTATGTTTTTTATTGCAAGTTTTAGTTCATTTCAAACATATGCAGGGTTTATTTCAATGATATTTATTTTTTAATACTGAAGTATTTTCCAGACTTTTTTTTTTCTTGATTTCTCACTATATATACAAGTAAATTGGAGAAGCCGATTTACGTGAAGATGCCGATTTATGTTTTTTTTTCTTGAAGATGACGATTTATGTTTTCTTGAAGATGCCGATTTATGTTTTTTTTCTTCAAGAAGCCGATTTACTTGAAGACTTCTTTTTTTTTTTCTTGATTTATCACTGTTTTATTGTTGAAGATGCCGATTTAAGTTGATTCCATGAAGATGCCGATTTATATATATATATATTTCTGGTCACATTGCGGAAATCACGCACAAAATATATGTAATGGTGAACGTTACAAAGAGTTATAGATATTTAGGCAATCACGTAATTATTTTTTGTCCATTAGGTATACACCAAAATATTTAATATTGGATGGTAAAATCGAAATATCTTNTAGAGACTGGTGTTGTTTTGTTCTGGTTTCTCTTTCTCCTAATGTAGATGGAGACTATAGTACACTGTATACAAACAAAACAAAACACACAAAAGAAAAGAAAAAGATTTTGAAATGACTGGTGGGACTGGAGACACTTGTCACTATACTATTAGTCTATTAGTTTGCATAATGAAACCCTAGCTAGCAAGCTGTAACAGTACATTTACTTTTGCTATTCAAACGTTTGCACAGTACCCATAAGCTTTAAAAACTTTCTACTTTTCCATTCCTAAAAAAATTGATTTTAAGTTTTGGGTGTGTAATTAATTTCAAACATCATATTTCATTTTTTCACTATAGTGATTTGACTGATTAATATTTGACCTCGTGGTATTGTAGAGTTGGATGTTACAATTGCAGTACAGTAGAATGTAACAATTTCCTTAAGTATTAATTTTTCATTGTTTTGTAGCCATCCGTAAGAAATTAATTCCTCAATTTTGGATATCAGTCCAACAATTTTTTAAAACATCGATATATTTTAAGGGCCCGAGTTGGTAAATTTATTTTGTTGAACACAAAAACTGTAGTCAAAGTATTCTTAGATTATAAAAAGAAATTACATTGCTCACTTTATTTCATAATTCATATGGAAAAAAGGTTGTGGGTTTTTATTCAAGCCGAGTCGTGACTGTTCAATTTAAATCAGTGTTTTTCTTTAAAAAAATCATAAATTTAAATTTTTTGGCATTCAATTTATTTGTAGTTTGTAAATAGTTTGACCTTGCTGATTGCTCAGTCTCAAAATTAACCCACGTTCGTACATTTCTTTGCATGGGGATGTGCAAGCATGATACGAATTTGTGCACTTCATACTATGCAGCAAAATAAATCAGAACTGACAGGTTAGCCAAAGTGGTCATGTGCACACTGCACAGTGCACATACAATCATATACACGCTATACATACAAAAGTTGTTTCACTCTGGTGCTATGTTGCTTGTTTCATACCCAAAAAATGCCAATTGTCCATGCCTCCCGAGACAACAACTTACACCAAGTGGCCGCCGCTATAGGGCAGTCACGCAGCACATGCAGCGTGGATTCACCGGCCTCCATGCAAATTGTACAATATGATGAGTCTGTCAAATGGCGGCGCTAGTGCACCTCGTTTGTCAAAAGACTATCGCGAAACGCAAGCCACAAAAAATGTCAGATCCGTTGTGGACCCGTCCACCGCCAAATCAATTGCCAATAGCGATTTCGCCTAGAAGTCGATGGAGTCGCAAGAGCTGCATAAGCCGACTGCGTCGTAAACCTCCCATCTGGGGAGTTTCCCCAATAGCGGACGTCATCCTCGCCATTCGGTTGGGGGGGCATAACCGCTGCGCTTTTGAGCAGACAAGTAAAGGGGACAAAGTGCTGAAAAAGGCGCCAGTGCCAGCAACCATCATCGGTCGCAAACTCCGAAACCGATGCATGAAGCAACTGCTCCGGAACCGGTCCTGTAGCATACGTAATTAGAGGCTCTGAAGCATGTAGCCATGGGTCTGCGCAAATTTGGGCAGGACGTTGATGCAAAATGCCGAGGATTGGTCGTCCATCTTTGGAGTCATGGCTTGGCGTATGTGGCGATGGCGAAACTTCACGATTTTCGAGGTGAGCACCGGTCTGTAGATTCTCGTGTGCATGACGTCCTTTCTTTTGTCCATAGCATTTATGCGGTCGCGGCTAGTGGTGGTTTGTTAGGCGCTGTCGGCCAGCGTGAACAACGATGGATAGGGTGGAAACCGCCTGAGGAAGGTGTGGTAAAGGTCAACACAGATGGCAGTCATTTATCGAGTACGGGTATGGCTAGTGCAGGCGGTGTTATTCGAGATCATATGGGGAAATGGCTGAGTGCATTCGTGATGAACATTGGGTTTTGCTTCGTTATTGGTGCTGAGCTTTGGGGTTTGTTCCAGAGTCTGAAGCTTGCATGGGAGATAAGGGCCCGCAATGTGGTAGTGGAGGTAGACAATCAGAGCATTATCGCGATGGTACGTGGGGATGATGGATACGGAATCCATAGGGCGATTCTACGAGGGATACGGGAGATGTTAGGCCGGACATGGCAGGTGGTTTTACAGCATGGATATCGTCACTGGCGGATCCAGAGGGTTTCACCGGGGGCACGTTCCCCCCACTGGAGTTGGCCTACCTTAGAGTATTTGATTATTATTTATTAATTTCACTGTTCTAAAATTATAAAAAAATCATAACTAATTAGGTGAATTATATATTTTGCTAGGATTATTAATATAAATTGGGCTGTAAAAGATATTACTATTTCATGTTTAAGAATTTAAAAACTCACTAATTGGCCTATAGTAGAAAAAAAAAAGCTTTATTTTTAAAAGAGATTATATATGTTAATTAAAAAATGACTTCTTTGAACGAAAAAAAATTAAAGAACAGATAAATTATTTGAAAATTTAAAATTTTACTTTTATATCATACTTAGAAATATGTGTTTACAAAACTTTGTTCTCCAATTAACTTATTAATTCAATAAGAATGTATGAGAAAAATATTTATTTAATAGGAGGATAATTTTCACTAGTATATTTTTTTTTAAAAAAAAAATCATGATTTCTATATTCGACAATGTTAATGTGCCCCCACTAAGATTTTTTCCTGCATCCGCCATTGGATATCGTCATAATTAGGCTTGGCCTTCATTTCTTCTTGTACCAAAAAAAAATGCCAATTGTAAGTGTACTTTTCAAAGTATTTGAACCACTACTGAATGGGTAAATATTAATTACGGAGAATATAACTAGTTCTCCAAATGGAAGCATATTTACCTAATTATTTTGTTAGATGTAATTTGATATTTTATGTATAGTTATGAAAACTAATTAAGTTAGTCCAGAAATTTTGGTTCAATTTTCCAACGCTATTCTATCATAAAAATAATCTTGTTAGTTACCAAATAAAAAAAATCACATAAAGAAATGAATAACAATCACATAATACCAGTTATTAATTAAGCATATAGAATTTTTCATTCAACACTCTTCTTCATAACATGCTTAGATATGTCAGTCGAATTAAGAACAAGAGGTACCATCCGACTCCTCACCATCGATCTTATTTATTTTCATTGGGTTGGGCCCAAAAATTGTAATTCAAAGTATATAAATTCTTAGATTATAAAAAAAATTACATTGCTCACTTTATTTCATATGGAAAAAAGGTTGTGGGTTGTTATTTAAGCCGAGTCGAGTACATTTTAAATTCGAGCTAGTTTAGTATTTAAGCTTACGATAGCTCAATTCGGCTTGACTATTTAAATTTAAATCTATGGTTTTTTTTTTTTAAATAAAAATATTTGCAACCAAATCCAACTCAACTTGTTGAATAATGAACTCATTTAATTATTCGAGCTTGTTAAATAATTTTTCGTCACAAATCTATGATTCATGTTCACAAACAACTCGATACAAATAATATTATAATTCTACCTAATTGTAATTCATGAACATAGTTTGTAAGCTCATGACAACTTATGAGAGAAAGAAATGTGCAACATGAAATAAGATTCTATATCGTTCATCATTTAATTGTTATTAATTAATAATAAATTTGTTGGCATTCCATTTATTTGTAGTATTTTGTAAATAGTTTGACCTGATTGCCCAGTCTCAGTTAACCCACATTCGTACATTTTTTTTGCATGGGGATGTGCAAACAGGATACGAATTTGTGCCCTGCATATAATGCAACAAAATAAATCAGAAATGTCAGCTTAGCCAAAAGTGGTAGAAAGTAGTGTAAATACAGGTATACCCCTGCACCCTCTTCACATACAAAGACAATCATATATATACACTATACATACAAAAGTTGTTTCACTGTAATTACAGGTATACCCCTGCACCCTCTAATGTTGCTTGTTAGTAACAGCATACCAAAAAAACATGAGCTGTAATTGTACTTTCCAAAGTATTTGAATTTTGAACCACCACTCAATGGGTAAATATTAAATAGTTTGTTAGATGTATTTTGATATTTTATCTGATAACTTTGTGTAGTTATGAAAATTAATTAAATTAATCCAGAAATCTTGGTTCAATTTTCCAACGCTATTTTTTTAATAAAAATATATTTGTTACCAAATAAAAAAAATCACTTCACAGTTCACATAAAAGAAAATGAAGAGCAATATCACATAATACCAGTAATTATTAATTAAGCAGATAGGATTTTTCATTCAACACTAGCTAGGCACCATCTTCTTCCTCACATGCTCAGATATCTCAGTCAAATTACAGATCAGGAGGTACCCTCAGACTCCTCACCATCGACTTTCTTCCTGGGAATAAACACATTCAGAATACCGCCGCCCAGCTTGGCCGTGATCTCGTCGGGCTTGATCTCATCCATGGGCAGATCGGCCGTGTACCTTAGGATTACCGCCATGCTGCCGCCGGGAATATTGCCCTCCATTTTGCCTTGGGCAGTGAGCTGCGATCCCTTCATCTTCACACTAACTTGATCATTGGACATTGGCCCTACCCCCAGCTGGAGATGGAAGCCTTCAGCAGTAACGTCCCATTTGAAATCGCCATGACTACACTCGTGCGAGCTGAAGCCTGGTTCCTCGCTGGAAGGGAGGAATCCCGCCGGAGACCGGCCAAACGTCCCTTAAATGGAAATTTTAAGTATGAGAAAAAAAATTAATTTAAAAAATACGAAATCACGCAATCGTCGATCTAACGACCAACCGAGAAAGGTTAAGAGGGGGAAAATTGAATTCACAAATCTGGATCTGAAGAAAGAACTTACCGGAGAAAGTACGGAAGCTCGCCGGTGGAGCCGCCGGGCGGAGAGAGGTGGAGCTTCGGAGGCCCGAGAAGATGAGGCGGCTCAGGGGGAACGTGGGTGCGGCCATTCTCGGTTGTGGTAACTTGTTGCGGAATGTTTGTTTCTGGTTTTTATCTTTGTCTTATATCTGTGTATATCTTGGTCGTCACAAGGTCCTGTTTTATGGAGTTAAGAATAGGATTCGAAAATCTTGTCGTGACCTAACAGGCCGCTTAATGGGCTTTCTATAGATCTGTATTCTGTAAGGTTTAATTGGGGGACTTATAAAATGGACCGTTTGATCTGTGTGGACCAAAAACCAAGCATAGCTGCAATTCGATAAATTTAATGGTTTTATTTAAATGTATATGTGCACAAAATGACCACAGGTAGGGACGTAGGGTTAAAGATCTAATAAATAAGAATGATTTTATTGTCATACTAGTTCACTAGGGTAAATTCTATCCTACCCCATGGGTAGTGCCCCCATGGGTTTTTGGCCACAAATTTGCACACAATCACACACACACCCCTGTGGGTGTGTGTGAAATTTGTGGCTAAAAACCCCATGGGGTAGGATAGAATTTACCTTAGGGGAAGATAACATAAGTGCCTATCAAATATAATAATACATATACATATTGAAAATAAATATATACCCAGGTATTAAAACTAAAAACTTAGATAACTATATTCAATAGATTTTAACTATTCAATGATAAAAATAAAAGCACCCCAACAATTAGTTTAAATTTCAAGTTAATATATTTTATTAGATTTTTTCTTTTAACCTATAATACGGATCCATATCTATGATATGATATGATTAGACATGGCCATAAGGCGGGCCTGGCCCGGACCCTACGGGCCAAAGGGTTGAGTTACCTCGATCCTGAGCCGGCACGGCCTAGGTTCGTGCTGGGTCCATGGCCCTGCGAACCGGACCGGGCCCGCCTAAATTGAAAAACAAAAAAAAAGAAAAAATAAAAAAAAAAAACCTGTTTTTTTCGGGCTGGCCCGACGGGCCAGTGTAGTCAAGAAGACCAGCCCGGTTGAAATCTGAGTCGGGCCCGGACCCATGGTCAATGGATTTGACTGGGCCGAATCCGTGCCAGGTCGGCGGGCCGGGTGATCCGTGGCCATTTCTTGATATGATTCCAACACAATTCATGGGGAAAACAATATTTAGGTTGTATATTAAATTAAATATATAAACAACATAAATTGCAGTTTATCGCACATTATGAAAATTTGTAATACACTATTATCTTGTTCACTTAAATATTAATAAATTTATATATAAAACTTCATACATTATTGAACACGTTCTCATAAAATCATTATTCATTTGATTATTTGGACGACACTATATATATCGTAATAAAGTATTCTTAATACTTAAAAGTCATATATAGTTTTGATAATCGACATGATTCGACAAAATTGACTCCTAACATGTTCACTCGGGATGCAATTCAAGACTGTCATCTCTTTTTCTTTTTTTTTTTTTTAACTATTTTATAAACTACTTGAAAGTAATCCAATAAACATGTATAATAAATCAATTCAATTTACTTGGTTTGCCCAAATAAATTTCATTTTATCTTTAGGTAAATTTAATTATAAGAATGAAAAAAATAATCCGTTATTCATGCAGCAAGCATATATAACAAAGGATAATTACATTTAAAGACATTTTTTACTCAAAGTGAATGAATTTGTGAACCCAAGTTCAGACTTCAGACTCATAGAGACTGAGCATTAAAATGCTTTAAGATATAACTGGTCGAAATGGAAATACTGAATATCAAACCAGCAAGAGAACTAAACAATGCATTCCGAGTATCAACCTACAAGACAATCAGATACAATCTGCTTGGATAAAAATTCAAGATTGATGATTGATAAAATATGAAAATGGAATTTGAGTTCTAATTGTGGAATATCCTTCGGCTTAAGTGTCTTCACCACAATTTTCACTCGATTATCCATTGTTGCTGCATATGTGGCCCCCAAATTTCCCCTGCTGAGCAATTCAGCAGAAGCCAGGTTGACATTTTCCAAGTCCATAGGAGGACTGAGATCTGAAACGATTAACCAGCTTTGTAGCTCTTCCATAAGTCGACGAACTCCCGAGCCTTGCAAGGTCAACAATTACTTCAATAGTAACACACAGTGGGATTCCAAAACACTCTGGAGACAGAGACAGAGCACTAAAACATTCCAGATACAGAAATCAATTGTACAGATTCAGATAGGACTTTACAGTTCACACCATCGTATAAGAGAAAACAAAACAGAACACTAGAAAGAACTTTTCACAGATTTTCATTTGAGAATGAAATGGTTATTGAATGAACAAAAGCAACATGTAACAAGAAAACTTGTACACGCGTTCCAATCCGAAAANAAAAAAAAAAAAAAAAGACTCAACTCTCTGACACCAGTAAACTTATTATGTAAGAGTGGGCAACAGATCCTCCAATAGATCTTCCAATCTCGAATCTATGGTTGATTGCTCCCATGAATCTTCTGAACCAGATTCATATAATGGCTCGATGCCATTAATTTCCTCTAACCTCTTCACTACTTCAGACATCCTAGGCCTGCGTTCAGGGACACTGCTAGCACATTCTATTGCAATTTGTAAAGTGTGTACCATTGACTCCTCGTCATTTTCATACCTCATAAGCTCTAAATCAAACACTTCGGAATTCCATTCTTCACGAACAACAGACATAACCCAGTTAACGAGCGAGATGGTCTTGGATTCTTCTTCCATACTGATTTGAGGTGGTTTTCCGGTGAGAAGTTCAAGCAAAAGAACTCCAAAGCTGTAGACATCAGAAGATTGGGACACGCTTCCCGTGTCTCTAAGTTCGGGGGCACAATAGCCTGGAACTGGCATAGCTGATCTTCTGACGGGACTTACCAGCTTTGCCAGACCAACATCTGATACAATGCCATGTTTTTGTCCATTAAGGAAGATGTTTGAGGATTTAATGTTTCCATGAACGAGCTTCCGGCCATCTTTACTATGGATGTGAGCGATGCCCCTGGCTGCATCTACTGCAATTTTCATGCGCGTCTCCCAGTCTAGAGGTGTCTTATCAGTTCCTAGTTTCCCTATAAAGTACGAAAGAGTTTAATTGAGTCAGATCAGATTATCGTATACAGTTATAAGATTAAATAATTACAGTTAAAATGTGAAAATAGAATGTTGCTCGTTGATGTATAACTAGCAAATACTAATTACTAAAATTGAACAACGTGAAGGGGAAGAAAAAGAAGAGAAACAAAAAACATGGCATTCTACTGCTAACATTAAGCTTCAAGTAATTTTTCATGAGGGATCTTTGTCTCTAGTTCATGCACACTCCATTATTCATAAAGCACACTGCTTACACAATGAAGATTGCTATCAGTCGATGCTTGAATGGATATACTAAAAATCACCTGGAACTGCAATATAAATGCTAAAAGGGATAACGAATTTTCACAGAAAAAAAGACAAGGATCATAACGTCAAGTATCAAGGATAAAATATTAACTAATTTAAAGTTTCAAGCCTGTACGAACAAAGTAAATTCCAGGTTAAAATAAAGATGATTTCTTCACAATTTTTTGTTAGGAGAATCTATCCTTCATAAAACAATAAAGGGTAGCCTGCCAATAATTTTATTTTCACGTACCATGCAGCGCAACAGATAAACTCTCCTGAGCATAGTGATCATAAACCAAGAGCCTTTCATCTTCCGAATAGTAGTAGGCCCTCACTTCAGCAACATTTTTGTGCCCGATTCTTCCAATCATATCCATATGTTGCTGAAAATCTTTAAATGAAACAACAACGTCCTTCAATCTCCTAACCACAATTGTGTTACCAGCTTCCAATCTTGCCATGTAACAAGTTCCAAATGTTCCTTTCCCAAGCACCTCAGCAGAAGCTCTAAGCATATTTTCAAGATCAAATGCGGGGTTAGGATCCTCAATGAACACAAGTTTTCTTTCCACGGGAGCAACACTTATGGGGTTCAAGGAACTAATTTCCTCTAACATCTTCACTACTTCAGACATCCTAGGTCTCTTCTTTATCGACTTTTCGACACATTTCATTCCTATCTGCAACGTTTTAACCATCTGCTCTTTTATGGTAGGTTGCTTCAACAGATCTGCATCGAATACATTAGCAGCCCTAATCCTGTTCCTTATGGAAGTAACCATTTTGACTAGGTCAACAGCCTCAGGACCACCAGGGACATGAACACTGGGCTTTCTAGTGAGAAGTTCAAGTAACAAAATCCCGAAGCTATATACATCTGATGCTTGGGACACATTCTCGGAACTCTTTACTTCAGGGGCACAGTAATATGCAGTTGGCATGAATACTGTCTGTATCAAGCTTGTTGGACCGAGATCGGATACGCAACCAAACTGGTCAGGATTTCGAAAAACATTTGACGATTTTATGTTTCCATGGAAAAGCTTCCCGCCATTATGTTTATGTATTTCAGTAATACCCCTGGCTGCACCAATCGCGATTCTTAGCCTGCTTTCCCAGTCCATGTTAGCACGAGGTTCACCATTTCTTCCTGGAAAATATCAGAGAATGCATAAGATTACTCATGTCCAATATTCACGACTAGCCTGGGCCATGATGTTGATTGAAGCAATAAACACAGCATAATTAAAAAGACATCATGAAGACAAACTGAAAGTGCTACAAATTAACACCTGGATAATTGATAAATTAAAGTCATCTCCTACTTCATTTATTCGACAGATGGAGCACAATTACGAACCATCCATTTTGCCTTAAAGCATATTCCAAATTGGATTTTTATTAGATATTCTTTTGCAAACTAAGGGACAATGGAGGATTAATAACTTCAACAGACATCTATATAATTTTTCATCTTAAATCACCCCTGCTGATTTGCACTAATGCCCTTGAAAGTGGAATTCAGATATGCAGAGAATATTCAAAGCTAAACAGGGAAATCTCTTATCAAACTTGTAATGAAAATCCTCATAAAATTCTCCTTGACACGGACAAAGAACAAGAACTATATCACTAGTGAAGTTCACGGGTCCAACATACCATGTAAGAGTGAATACACGCTCCCCCAACGGTAATAATCATAAAGCATGAGCCTTTCATCTTCCGAAGAGTAGTAAGCTCGCAATGAAACCACGTTCGCGTGCCTAACGCCTCCAACAATCGCCATCTGGCGATTGAACTCCTTTTGTGAAACACTCGGGTAGAGTCTCTTGACCACGATTCCTACCCCGTTGTCCATTGTAGCAACATAAACGCTCCCGAAGGTTCCCCTGCCGAGACACTCAGAAGAGGCCAGCTGAACATGCTCGAAATTGATGGAGTGACTGAAATCCGAAACGAAAACCAGCTTCGGAGTCCTCTGGTACGTCGATAAACTTTCAAGTCTCGCGAGGTCAAGGGCATCGAGTGAGAGCCTCGAGTTGAAGCTAGAGCTAAAATCCGAAGCTTCGGAGAGGACGCTGGGGCTCCTCGAATGATCGTGAAAAAGCTGCCATAGCTGTTGTTTCTTCAGAACAGCATCAACAAGCCTCTCCCAGTTGTCATAGATTGCAGACATATTCGCCTAATGCCTGAAATGCTAAACCATAAATTGTCAAGGCTTCTACACAGGAATTATCACAAAAGGGCTCATCCAAAGCCACCACTTGCACACATTAATTTAATCACTAAGAATAGAAAATGGCTAGAATGATTCCAAATTTTATAATTCGTTGACACGGACTTGGTCGGAAAAGTCAACGCTTTCAGAAAGCGGTAGGTGTGAATGCATGGTCATTAAATTAGGGTAATTAAAAATGAGAACGGAAAATGAAATGGATAATTGAGCTCCTGAGCAAATTCCTGGAACAAGTCGCAAAATTGACCATATAGCTGGAAAATACAAGGAAACCTTTAGTCACTGTTACCGACTGAATTTTCTATCGAGATAAAAGTTAATCTATGAGAAATTACGACATTCATTCAAATCACACTGTTTCCAAAGCAAACAGAAGGACTCACACGCCGGGAGACCATGAAGTTTGCTGGTGAAGGTAATTTCTAAGGACTGAACACGCCATTGTTGCGAGCTTGAAGATTTAGGTACCATTTTCAAAACGCGCTCTCTGCTAAGGATTCACCAAGCCGCCGAACCCAAATCAACTCCGAATCGTTTGAAACAATTCCGCCCAAAGTTATACGAGTTTATTTTAAACATAAATAGAAAATTGCATTTTTTGTCTTGTATGTGCCTATGGAGTCTGGACATATTAATCCTCTACGGGCACGTTTGTTAGCCCAGATTAAATAGGATTAGGCCTCCAATCACCACTTAATCTTGCATTTGTTTTCCACGATTCCTGCCCGGTATATTAGATAGAGCCCGTGTAGACAATTAGGAAATTACAGACTTGTCCTTCTAATCAAATCTGCGTTTCTTTTTTTNAATATGATATACAACAACTATACTAGAGGATAAGAGATTAAAAAAAAAACACACACACACACACAATTACTACTTCATACACAATCAACAAAACAAAAATTGCAAACAAATAATCCTTGCAATTAGTATTAAAACCGAAAATAGCTCAACTAAAATGAGAAGATAGATAAAGACAATTAGACAAATGAAATAAATATCTAATAGAAGTTTACAGTAAAGCTAAGGAGCCAACAGCCAATGGGACAGCTCCACCATTAGTTGTTGGTTCTGTAACGGAGCCAACAGTTGGCTCCTTAGCATTATTGTAGAAGTTTAATGTCTTGTTGAAAGGATTGATCAACAATATATAATATTTTGTTAGAGTAGTGTTAGTAATCTTGGGACTTAATAGATAAATGAACTATTTTGTTTGGTTAGTATGTTGCTTTATTGGGCTGGGCCAAAAATACAATAATTTTTTTTGTTCAAACTATGATTATAAGAAAAAAAAAGAATAATAGGCCTGGGCTTTAGCCCACTCTAGGCCTATATTGGATCCGTCCATGGCTCAAACGATCTCCATCAACGGAAATCAGAAACCTCTCAGAGTCAGAAAAAAAAAATTTAAAACGTAAGTCATGTTCATAACTATAGATTACGCTGTGTTAGGATTTAATTTATTAGATTTGGATATGCATATCGACGACATTCCTAACAGAACCAAACAAAACATAACTGAAGACATATTGATTGAGCCCTTTGATGATCCAATTGCTCAAATCGCTAAAAGCACATATCCAATGTTTAAGTAGACAACCGATGATCTTAGTTATTCGAAAGGCATGTCTAAATTGGTATCGACATTGGATGTTGTTGAGTCTATAAATGAGTACATGACATCAATGAATTTGTCTGATGGTCATACGTATTTAAGTTTCGACGTGCAAGTCAGACTCCAATAACGATTTTCTGTCAGATCTCCACACGCCCAAGTTCTTGAATAGTATCAAATGTCCGGGAATTCTAAATCATCAGTTGCATTTAAAGATTGGAATTTTCGTCATGTTGTTGCAGAACATGGATAGTTCTATGGGCCTATGTAATTAGATACGGTTGTTGTGACAAAACTCTTCACTCATGTTCACGCAGGCGAAAAGATGTGATTCCTACAATAGTTATAACTCCTTCCGACGTCCGAATTCATTTCAAGCTCCAACGACGGTTGTTTCTCATTATAATTTCTTATGCCATTACTATTTTTAATCATCTACAATTATACGTTTTCAAGTGGTTTGAAAATATAGTATGTGCTGACGATGATTGACCAATAAATCAAATAAAAACAACATTATGGATAACGAAGTGTTCAATAATTTATGATTTTTTAGTTTGTTTGGGACCACTTTTTTTCTTACATAGAGCCCGTGTGATGCACGGGGTGCACAATTTTAAGCCTATTTATCCAGGCTTATAATTATATATATGAATAAAGAAAAATGTATGGGATATATATAGTACGTGACCCGTGCGAAACACGAGATATATTTATTTGGAGAATATTATATTATAAGATACAATATTCAATAAAAGTTTATAATACGCAAAAAAAATGTACAATGTTCAATAAAAGATTTATAATATTCAAGTGGAGTCTTAAAGTCTCTTGTACATTAAGACTACAGACAAAATAATATTTTAATCAATGAGTTTCCTTTCCTCGTAGCAAAATTGTGAATGTGATTTGAGGAGTACAACAAATCGATATATAGCTGACTTGCTTTTTTCATTGTAGTTTTTTTTTTCTTTTTTTTTATAATGAATTTAAAGATATTCTAAAATATAGCAAAAATTAATTTTTTTTATTACAATTAAGAATTTTACTAAATATAAACTCCCGATCTATGGTGTTAATCAACGTTTAAGTCTAAAAAATTAGGAATTTTTACCTCTTTTAATCAACGTTTAAGTTTAAAAAACAATAGAGTTATTATAAGGTTTTTTCTACATCTTTTAAAACATTAAATATGAGCATGTTAGGGCTAGCTTGTAAAATAATTAATATATTATCTCACTAAAACATTTATACTAATAAAAATTTAATTTTAGCATATAAATTTATCCCTTGATATAAGAGAAAGTAACAGTTTTACTTATTGTTGTTCACCATATAATATTTAATTATTATTTTATTATATAATAAAAAAGGAATATTGTTAAATAGTGTAGTAGAATTGTTATAAAATTATATGATTTTTTTTTTCACAATATGGATTTAATATTTTTTTATGATTTGATAATATAAACAAATCTATACTTAACTTTGACAAATAAAACAAATAAATACTTTAGTAAGTATTTAATGTATATACTAAATAGGAATATATTTGGTATAATCAAATACCAAATATAATCAAATAAGTCAAAGTGTACATTTTTATTTGGTATTTGATTTTTTTATTATTAAAATATTTTTATTATACTTACCTTTTTAAAATAAAATAAATAAATAAATCAATTAAATAAATAAAATATTATAATACCAAAATAGTAATAGCATTTAATACAGTTGACTTTTCTGGATAGTAAATATAGTAAATAGAATCTCTTTTTATATAAGTATAAATTATATAATACGGAAATAGTAATGCAAAAAATGCTGTTGACTTTTCTGGCTACTTAATTTGGTAAATAGAACTCCCTTTAATATAAGTATAGATTTATTAATTTTAATATTGAATATGTTATACTTTGGTAAAATATACCATCTTGTGCTTGTCCACTCACATAGTAATAGTAGTTACAGTAGTTTTTGGTCCACCGGAATCCAAACCCATACATTCGAACCGAAAACTACGATGGAGCAAGAGGCACCGCCGCCATCATCATCCAAGAGCTGGAGCATCCACACGCGCCGCGAGATCACCTCGAAGTACGAGATCCTTGAGCGCGTGGGCTCCGGAGCGTACTCCGACGTATACCGAGCCAAGCGCCGTTCCGACTCGCTCGTCGTCGCCCTCAAGGAGGTCCACGACTACCAGTCCGCCTTCCGGGAGATCGAGGCCCTCCAGACGCTCCAGAGCTGCCCCAACGTCGTCGTTCTGCACGAATACTTCTGGGCCGACGACGAAGACGCCGTTTTGGTGCTCGAGTACTTGCCCTCCGATCTGGCCTCCGTGATTAAGGCCGCCAAGAAGGAGTGGGACGGTGGGATCGGTGTCGGCGAGGTCAAGCGGTGGATGGTGCAGATTCTAGCGGGGGTCGATGCCTGCCACCGCAATTCGATCGTTCATAGGGATTTGAAACCCTCGAATTTGCTGATATCTGCTGATGGGGTTCTCAAAGTTGCCGATTTTGGGCAGGTGCGAGTTCAGTTGATACCAACTCTTTAGAACAAAACTGATTTTTTCCCCTTAATTTTGGACTCGTGGTTTTGCGTTTCCCTCAAGTGAATTCCCTATCTCCGTTTTCACTGCCTACTTCTTACATAGAACTATCTGAAATATCTTCATTCCCAACTAATGATGGAGGACTCGTCCAAAAAGCAGGGCTATATTTCTTTTTCAGAAATGAGATCTGGGTTGTAGAACGTTAATTAGGAAATTGACTCATTGACCTGCTTCAGATTTGTACTATCTCATCCTTTTATGATTGATATTGCAGAAATCCCCCATGTGTAGCTCTCAGTATCATCTGTATAGTCATTAATCAATTGATCGATCTTTACAACAATCATCATAGAATGTTAATGTTTGCATAGACATTAAATCTGCATTTATTTTCTTGTGTGTTCAGGCTAGAATACTTCTTGCCCCAGGATTTGTTGGCGATGATGATGTATATAACCAGATGGCCGAGCAGCCTTCGCCAAACAAAGCAACTTTATCTCAGCCACCAGAGGCTCTTCCCACGCTAGAAGGCCCTTCTATTCAAGAACATGTAAAACGAGGCCGTGAAAAATGCTTTCTTGAGCCAAATCCTTACTTTACAAGTGATGTTGATGAAGAGAGTATTAGCCGTGATGGGGCTGCTTCTCATCTTGCCACGTGCACCACAAGTGATGTGGAGGACCCTTTCCATCAATCTTATTCTTATGAAGCTGAAGATGTTGGAGCTAGTGGAAATGGGCCACTTACCTCCTGTGTGGGGACCCGATGGTTTAGAGCCCCTGAGCTACTCTATGGGTCCACGAGCTATGGGCTCGAGGTTGATCTTTGGTCACTCGGTTGTATTTTCGCGGAGCTTCTGAGTCTTGAGCCATTATTCGCGGGCGGTGCAGATATTGATCAGCTGGGCAAAATTTTCAGCGTTTTGGGCAACTTGACGGATGAAGTCTGGCCAGGCTGTGTGCAACTTCCTGATTACAATATAATTTCATTTAGTAAAGTGGAAAATCCTATCGGCTTAGAAGCATGTCTCAAGAACCGGTCTCCTGATGAAGTGCTTCTTGTGAGGAGGCTTTTGTGTTTCGACCCTGCAAGTAGAGCTACCGCAATGGAATTGCTTAATGATAAGTATTTTAATGAAGAGCCTTTGCCGGTTTCTTTATCTGAGTTGAGGGTTCCAGCTAAAATCGGGAATCGTGATGAGGATTCATCCGTTGATTGGAACGATCGTAGGGATTTTGGGTCGGATTCGGATTTCGATGAATTTGGCTCGTCGCTTGTCACAACCACAGAAAATGGGTTTTCGATTCGGTTCTCTTGATGTTGATGGCAAGGGTTTTTATTTACACTTGATTGATTTAAACCATGTGCGGACACTGATCATTTTTCATATCATCAATCAGTTGGCTTCTGCAATTAGAAAAAAGGCAAGCAAAATATGCTGACATGCAAGAATTTTGCTGCGGAAGCATCTTGTGGGCTGCCGTTGCTACGTCATCAGGCCTCAGGTGTGAGATTGTTATTTGTATTTCTTGGCTTAAGGATCAATTTTAAGGAAATATATATCTGCGTAACATAAACAAAGTAATGTGGTGAAGTGTTTGTGATGTCATTTTCATTTTAATCCATTTTGTCTCGGTGAGACATTGGAAGACTATGATTCTTCTTAAATATAATTGTTCCACGTACGGGCTAATTAATGGAAACACATTGATTAGACTATTCGTTTATCTTTGCTTTATCCTCAATCATTTGTAGTTGGTTCTGTTGGTTAGTGATCCCCTGCATTATGAAAACAGGGTGATTCTCGAGACTGATGATCATTTGGTTGAGCAATTTTATCCCAATGCTGTTGCCCCTTTTACCTGTTTTTGTTCAAGTTCAAGAAATATCTTATCAAGCCAATCATAAAAGTATTGTGTCTCTAAGAGCTGTTATTTTTTCTTATGAATTATTACGATTCTTTTCCCTGAAAAAATGAAGCACTTGTTGTGGTTGAGTGATTAAACAATGCTTTTAAAAAAAGAGGGGAAAAAGGACAAGACACTTGGTATTGAAATTTCAGCCAAGGACAAACAAATACCATCCAACCAAGACACGAACTTTTGTTTTATCCACAATCCATAATTTTTGTGGTCATCCTCTTTATCATCTCCCTCTATAACTCACTCCCATTTTTCCTTCAGCCATATTATCCCCAATCCACACTTCACACCCCCAAAAAACCCATTCACCCGAAAAAAAAATGAACGACACAGTAGACAAGCTAGTGATCTTCCTAGCTAAAAGAGACGGCATCGACAAGCTCGTCAAAACCTTCCAATATGTATCCAAGCTCGTCCACTGGCACCTCGAAAAAACCCACCCCGAATATGCCGCCCGAGCCAAGCAATGGGAGGTGGCCTCCGGCCTCAGCCGGAAAGCCTTCCGCTCCGGCAGGTTCCTCGCCGGATTCAACTCCCTCCGGCGGTCCCCGGGCCCCACGCCCGTTTTCCGGCTGCTGTCACTGCTTTCGAACGGGGGCGAAATGGTCTATTTCTTCTTCGACCACTTCCTCTGGCTGTCAAGGGTCGGGGTCCTCGACGCCAGGCTGGCGAAGAGGATGAGCTTCGTGTCGGCTTTCGGGGAGTCCGTGGGGTACGTTTTCTTCGTGATATCCGATTTTATTCTCATTCGGGACGGGATTAATGCGGAGAGGCGGATTGTGGGGTCCGATTTCAAGGGTGAGGTGTCGGATGATGATAAGGAGGGATTGGGGAGGATTAGGGTGGATAGGGTGATGAGGCTGATGGGCGTGGCGGCTAATTTGGCGGATCTGATTATTGCGGTGGCTGAGATTGAGCCTAATCCTTTCTGCTGCCATGCTGTAACGTTGGGGATTAGTGGGCTGGTTTCTGCGTGGGCTGGATGGTATAGAAATTGGCCGTCGTGAAAAATTGAGAGATAATTTGGTAAAGGTGTTTGATTTGGATGGATATTACCGTTTTTGAGTGGTGAATACATGAGGGGAAACAAAAAATTGTTGTGTGCTGCGTTTTGCTCTGTAATGATGATGATAAAATTTGCGACGAAAATTTGTGTATTAGTTTACTACTACTGCATCAGTGATTGTTTTATTGGTACCTTTTGGTTTAATGAATGTTGATATAGCTAAAAGATGCACATATGTTTGATGAAAATAGTGCTAGCAATATAAGATTTGTAGTTTACAAATTAATTATGTAAGTTTTCAAAGTAGTTGAAATTTGTTCATATAGAATGGGGGTGATTGTTTCGTGGAGCCTAACGCATGTTCTAACTGTTGTGAATGACTCAGTAAACACTGATAATTTGTAAGGCAAATGGAAGAAGATTAAAAAAAAAATAGCTCCTAACTAGGGGATTAGAAGCTAAAAGAAAAGGCCATGAGGTTTTCATTATTTCCTTGTATGAAAATTTAGTTTTGTACCGGATTCTACTTTTCGTAAATAGAAAAAATAGAGTAAATTATTAAAACAATTTTAGGTTCAATGAGAAATTAATTCTACAGTGGAAAAATTTGAGTTTATGTAACTCTAAATTGAATTTAAGTAACTTCAAGATTGTTGGATTCGTAAACGTTATGTCGACGAATGTTTGGATAAGTAAAATGAGCTATAATCATGTAGTATGCATGCTAGAAGGATTCGTTAGGAATGGATAGGAAAAACAAAGGAACTAGATTACGAGCCCATGTTTATGAAGTTGGAATAAAGGCTTCCTTGAACTGTACAAAAATCACTCATTCACTTTTTACTGAGAAGTCACTGGGTTCTTGTCTGAGAGGTTTATGAGAAGACTCAAGTATGGTGAAATTTAGAAAGTATATGTTTGAAAAGAAGGTATATTGACTACTAACCCAAAAAAAAACGGGAAGAAAGATTATATTTTGGCATTTTACTTATTTGAGTAGTGTTATCAATGTTTCAAGTAAAGTGTAAGGGGGTGTTTGGATACAAAATTGGGCTGGTTTGCTCCAAAAAAATCAACCAAAACCAACCTAAACCAGCCAAAAAAATTACAACGGTTTTCAATTTTGATATGTGAAAGATAGAGTGCAAAAAAAATGATCATAGCTTCGAGATAGATTTATGTGGACAAAGTAGGAAGAAGTTTTAGGATTTCTCTCATTTTTCTTAATCTTCTCAGTATCAATTAAGTTACTTCAAACAAAGTTTTTTGTGCAGATTCAATTGATAAGACAGATGCATATTAAAGTGTACAAATAAAAAATATTCATTTATGTACTTATTCTTTACATTATTTATTTTAGTTTGTTTCATTACATTAGAAATATATGCTCTAGTTTCATTTTATTTCCCATCCTATTTATTTAAAAATAAAAAAAATCAAACATTTAAAAAAAAAAAAAAACGAGTTTTCACTTTTTACTAGTGGGCTTCTCACTCAGTCACTCTCCAATGCATTTAAATCATTCTCCGCTGGTAAACGGTAAACCAAACAGACCCTAAAACGACGGTCTCTAAATCGATTACGAAACGAACTCGAGACAATTATCTACGAAAATTCATCCCAATTCCCAAGTCGTCCCATTTTCAACTCTGCAATTTTCCTTCAATTCACTTTGCTTTACTCAGTCGCATCCATAGACTTCCATACATTTCCACACCGCCTGCTGCTAAACGAAGCCATTCTAGGTGCTTTCGTCTGTCTGTATGTATATATGTATCTATAGATGCTTCTCTTGGAGTTGCTTATCTATTTTAAATAGAGGGATTGTCTGATTTTTTTTTTTTTTTCATTCCTACTTTCTCTAGATCTTGTGAGGGATGGCGGAGGAGATCAGTCACCCGTCGAGGTACGTCAAACTGACGAAAGAACAAGCGCCACCGACGGAGGATATTAATCCCGGCGAGCTTAATCTGCCCATTGATGTTCCTCAAGTACTTTCTCTCTCTTCCTCTGATTGCTCGTTGAATTTTTCATTCTGGATATGAAAATTTAGATTTTTTCTATTGCTCTGCGCATATTTTTTGGCTTCACGAGAAATTGGTGCGGATCGGGATATTTTGATGTAGTTGTCCGAATGTGAATCTTACAATTGAAATTTTTAAGAAATTTTTAAAACTAAATTATGTTGTATTCCATTGAAACTTTTTTTAGAGTCCTAAAAAGTGCACTTGTATTCAAAGAATCTGTTTTTGTTTATATTTTAAAAACTTTTTGTAAATCTCTAAAAGTCTCAATCTATTCAATTAAAACTTTCTAAAAAGTCTCTAAGTCACCTGTTATTCAAGGTTAAAGACTTCATGAGGCTTTTTAAATTGAAGACTTTTGGAGATTTTTTTCATATAATTCAACTATAAGATAAAGTCCTAATAGAAATCTCACATGGGTGAGATTTAGCTAGAATTTCATGAATTTCTTCAAATCCTCTTTTCTCTATAGGTGTAATGTACACAACTATATATCTCATAAGTCATATCACTTTCACACTATATTTCGCTCACTATCTTGTGAGCACACTTTAGATGAGATAATCTAGGTCTTATGGCAGTTCTTTATCTCTTCTTTAGCTTTTATCCTTGATTTGGACTTAGCTTAGGGCCTCGGCTTGTTGCCACCTTTGCTAGTATTGGGTTTTAGACCTCGTATGTGAGGTTTCTCATTCTACGCGATTGTCATTTGAATGTTTGATTATTTGTACTCAAACTTTGCATTTGTTATGCTATGAGATTCCTATTGTTTTGACAAAAAAAAAAATCTTGTGAGCACACTCTATTATTTTACTCACTTATCTTGTGAGCCTGTATAATTTGTTTTTTCATCACAAAATTTTAACGTGATTTTTTATTTATTTATTTTTAATTATGCTTCTTATTTTTTCTTTCTTATTTTTTATTAGGCTTATTTTATGTATGTTTACTTTTCAAATGTCAAATGTTTGTATAGTTTGCACGTGCTAAGAATTTCACTTTCATCATTGTCTCTTTTGATGATGTTTTTGCCTTGTAAAATAATAATATTTTGATAATATTTTTCAAAAACGGCAGAATGATGCAAAAAAATAAAAAATTGAAAACAAAATTCAATAATACACATGATGTGTGGGTTGATTATGAATCTCATCCTATCCGAGACAAGTAACTAATGAGTTTGTGCTCGTTCAATAAATGAATATTAGTCTCAGTGACTTATTGAACCTCGTGAAAGCACGCATCGGCTTTGCTCGTTTAATAAACCTAAGACCCTAAACGAGTTGCTCGTGAAAACAAAATATTTTTGCAAACAAGTTCGACTTGGGTATTTTATGAAAAATACATAGAGTGGTTCGTGAACAAAAGTTTGTTTTCGATTAATTGTTCAAAAAGAAAACCTTTCAGCAGACAGACCCGAGTTGTGTTTGCGAATGACTCAATTCGAATAACAATTATATAGCTGATTCAAAAAGTTTTAGACGATTACTTATTTATTTTCAGCAGAACCGAGTTGTGTTTGCAAATGGCCCAGTTCGAATAACAATTTTATAGTTGAGTCAAAAAATTTTAGAGGATTACTTATTTATCTTTTTACTCTGTTGCAAAACTTCTGTTTTTCTTCTTGTTGAATGTGTTTACTATTAGAACTCATATCAATTTAATNAAACTAGCTTGATTTTATTGATATTAGTTATGATGTTCATGAACATTTCATGCAAAAATAATAGTTATATTGTAATTATATAAACGTCTCAATAGGTTTTAAAAAGTACATGATGAAAGTTTTAAAAAATCGGATAAGAATTCTATGAAAATCTCAAAATGTTCACTAAAATAATTAAAAATTTCACACAAAGTCCACAAGTCACTCACTTTAAGAAATCTTAAAAGTTCTTTAAAAGATTCAATTGAATACACCTCCATGGTATTCAACTTAGAGCATGTTTGTTTATGGAATTTTTCAAAAAATTTCTAACATTATAACTCAACCACTTTTTTTAACTCAACTTTAGCTCAACCTCATTATCATCAAAATTATCAATATAATTAAATAATATCAATCAATCATTCATACACACCACATCAACCTTAATTCACTATTCATCCACTCACATTATTTTTACTAACCATCACTTCAAATCTCAATCTCCTACTTTTACATTAAATCAATTTTAATTATATTATTTTAATATACCCACTACAACTAACCATACCACCTTTTTCAAAATTAACCAAACCAAATAAAAAAATCCAAACAAAACCAAAATTTTTTATAAACAAACATGCTCTTAGTAGTTCGTGGTCCTGGGACGAACTAGTTCTTTGGTATGTACTGTCTTTAAGTTTTGAACGAGATATTGAATTTTGTCCAGCGTTGCTTTAATTTTTGGGTTGTAATTCGCATGGTTCTTTTACTAAATTGATGTAATGCCCAAGTTCGAATATTTGTGTGAGATTAGTGAATTACGAGTCTTGATCCGAGTACCATTTAGACTTTTATGGCTCTGATTAGAAATATACTTTTGTGAGAATTTCTCATTCCATTGAGAACTTAGATCCTTTGTTGGCTGATAATGCAGTTGCACGTCCCCAAGTGCAATGAATGTGGACAGCCATTGCCAGAAAGCTATCGAGCTCCTGCAGATGAACCTTGGAATACAGGGATTTTTGAATGTGCTCAAGACCCGGAAAGTTGTAAGATCCTATTATCTTGAGTGAAATTTTTGGTCGTCTATATTGAGCAGGACAAGTCAAGCAAGACAACGAGTAGCAACCTTGAGTTCTAAGTCTTGAAACTATTATCTGGTCTGGTATAAATAGTTAGGAAGTTGTATTGATAGTTGGTACTATGTATGTGGCAGAGGGAATGCAGAAGTTAATATGATTGTCATTTCTTACTATTAATACACTATTGTTTTTCCTGTCCAAATTGTTTTTCCATCTGTAATGATTAATTGTCACTCTTATTCCATTTCCGCGCATTTGCTAGGTCAAACTTTCCGAAATTCTTGATTTAGTTAATTTCTTCAAATTTGCTGCAACAGGTCGGACGGGGTTATTTTGCCCATGTGTCTTGTTTGGCCGCAACATTGAGCAACTGAAAGAGGATACTCCATGGACTGGGCCATGCATCTGCCATGCCATTTTCATAGAGGGTGGACTTGCCTTTGCTGCGGGGACAGCAGCACTGCACGGTTTAATTGACCCAAGGACTATATGCCTGATAACTGAGGGACTGTTTTTCAGTTGGTGGATGTGCGGAATATATACTGGCATAGTCAGACAGTCGCTACAGAAGAAATATCATCTCAAGGTTACAAAAGTTCCCTTTGCTTTTCTTTTATGGATGCAGAACCTGAAGACTAGCTAGGTGATGGTTCATTTCATCAATTCTGAGTTTATCCGATCTGTTTCTCTGCAGTAAACTTGATTAAATTCTGCGTATGCATTCACATTAGAGGATGGTTTCACCTGATTTTTTTTTTTTACATCAATTCTCAAGTATGTGTTCAAAACATCTGATACTTACCTTCACCATCCAAGTTTAGACTAGTTAACAAGAAAAGAAAAGAAAAGAGACGCTTAATAAACTACAGATTTCATACGTTTAAAGGTGAATTTTCCTTGCGTAGAGATTCTGAAATATGTTGTTCCTTGAAGAGAGAAAATGTTATGGAATCTACCACCAAGGAGTAATTGTAACTCCAAAATCATCTGTTTTCTTTCGAAATATTTTTCCATGGTAGCAAATGTGAATCTACTTTGCTGCTGATTTACTAGCTCTCACATTTGTTTTTTTCCATGCAGAATTCGCCGTGCGATCCTTGCATGGTGCACTGCTGTTTGCACTGGTGTGCCATATGCCAAGAGCACAGGGAACTGAGAAGCCGCCTATCAGACGACACTCCAATGCCTATGACGATAGTCAATCCGCCTCCCGTCCAAGAAATGAACGCCTCGAATGCCAGCCAACAATCAGCAACACTTAATTTAGGAGAACGAGTTAATGTAGAGATGCAGGCTTTGTAGAAATTTGCCATCAACAGAAATATGCTGCTTGTAGATTTACTTCCAAACGGGCTTATGAAGGTTGAGAACTTGAGATCCATCATGTCATTTAACTTTAGGAATCCAAGTGATTTTGCGTTTTGAGTCCGTATTGTGGCTATATTGTCAATGGGGACAATTTTATGATCTAGGCTGAAGTGACCAAATTATAGGAGTGCATTTACTTTGATAATTGTTTGAAACTTACATGTTTAGGATGTGCTTGTTTATTAATTAATCCTCTAAAAAATAAGTTTTTTTAGTTAAACAAAATTAATTTTAAAAAATGTAATATGATTAGTAATATTTAAAATAAAATAATTAAAGTTGATTTGATGTAAAAGTAGGAGAGAGTTGATGTGAAGTGATAGTTAGTTAAAATTAAATTAGTAGATGAATAGTGAATTAAAGTTGATATGATGTGTAAAAATGATTGATTTGTATTATTTAATTATATGAATAATATTAAGGATAATGAGATTGAGTTATATTTTGAGTATGGATTAAATGTGAATGAAATATTTTGTAAACAAACATCCCTTACAGTTTTTTTCTTTTCGATTTTTTATGTCCTCGTGTGTTTTTAATTTTTGAAAATATAAGAACTCTTATTCAATAAAAGTATCTATTTGGCTTTTTGAGTTAATTGTATATTACCATACAAGTTTTTACAATATTTTAAACGGAAACATAGTTTGTACAACATGCAAATTTATGTTTTTTTAATATATATATACACTTATGAAAAATATTTTTTATATAGTCAAAATAATAGAAATAATATCTATAATAATATAACTAATTGATATATTGTACATGAAAAAAATAATATTTAAGCCATTACTTTTGTTTTTTTTCCTTCTAATCTCAGACATCCAAGGAAGGAGAAAGAGCAGCATAAGCTCTTTATGCCATTACTTTTTACTTCCACTTAGGTAGAGTTTGGTTCGGTGGAAATTGAGGAGAGGGGAAGGGAGGGGAGAGAAATTTTTAATTTTCTCTTGTTTGGTTCAAATTTTTATAGGGGAAGGAATTGGGATTTTCCCTTCAAATCCCTCCTCTAAGGGAAAAACTTCTCTCCTCCAAAAGTGGGAAAATTTGGAGGGAAGGGAAAATTTTATCACACAAAATTACTATATTGTTCTTATTATGTGAAATATTTTATTATTTTGTTTCTTATATTATTATGGGTATAATTGTCATTTCTACAATATTTTATTTCCCCTCCATTATTCTAACCAAACAAGATTTATCATTTTCCCTCCACTCTCTTCCTCCAAAATCCCTTCAAACAAGGTAAATTATTTTACATCACCTCCCCTTCCTTCTATTAAAATCCATCCCCTTCCCTCCCCACCCCTCCATTAAACCAAACATACCCTTAGTTCTAGAAGGATAATTTGAAAAAGGTAGCAAAAGCCATTTCCCGCCTAACTGATTCAAACTTCACTGTCTCAAGCAAATGCCGCTCCTCAAGACTTCAACAAACAAATCTGAAACCTCTGCACTCCTCTGCAAACTCCTAAACTCCCACAGGGTTTTGATCTCCAAAACCCTACGCTTTATCAATCCCAGAATTTCGACCATTTTCATTTCCAGAATTTTCCCACGAACAGAAAATGCACATAAAGGAAATCTGCTTGGAGGGTTTCAAATCCTACGCCACAAGGACGGTGGTCCCAGGTTTCGACCCGTACTTCAACGCAATCACTGGTCTAAACGGGTCGGGCAAATCGAACATCCTCGATTCGATTTGTTTTGTTTTGGGAATTACCAATTTGCAGCAGGTTAGGGCTTCCAATTTGCAGGAGCTGGTGTACAAGCAAGGTCAAGCTGGAATCACTAAAGCTACCGTGTCAGTAGTTTTTGATAACTCGGATAGGAGCCGAAGCCCGCTGGGGTACGAGGATTCTTCTGAAATCACAGTGACTCGCCAGGTACTTATCTGAGGAAGTATTGAATGGCGGGTTCTAGTTTTACTCTGAATCTTATGTGTCTGTTGTTTGATGGTATTAAAGAACTCACACTGCAGTTGTGGAAACTTTTCAAATTTGTTCTGAGATTTTGTAGGACGCTACACTTGAAACTTGCAGCTTTTGTAATTATTTAACATTTCACATTTTTTGAACATATCCGTAAGCTGTACCAACCTTCCATCTTTATGCCGGTCAATTTACAGGAAATGTTATGTTGAATGATGGATCGGAAATGATACTATCTGGGTATAATTAATTCTTTTTCAAGAGAACTCCATAGTGTAATGAGATGAAAGTCCGTAGAGCTTGATTTGGGGTTTGATTGGATAAAGAATAACTGTGTTGGATAAAGAACAGTTATTGGAAAGTTTTGGATTTTAATAATGTAAAGTGATGTGATATATAATTATAAAATTTAATTGTGATGTGATAGATAAATAGTAAAATAATGATTGATAGTTACAAATATGTAAGCAAATGAATAGTAGAATTTATGGAGAAGTGTGTAGTAAAGATTGATTTTTAATTTAACAATTGTTTTGGGAAAATGTGAGTAGAGTTGAGTGAGAATGTGAATTGGATGAATGATGTATTTTTGTTTCGTCGGTGAGATGATTGGTTGAAATGTATCTAATCCAATCATATCTTTGATGTAAAATTTGGCACCTTTTGATTTTCTCTGGAAGTCTGAATTTTTCCAATTATTTCCATCGTAGTCCTGTGTTTAAGCTCGTGACTTCATTGTTGAATACTGTTGACTATCTCGAATAGGTGAAGTTGTGTTGGGAGGAATTAGTGTTACACAAAGAGTTCAAGCATTTGCTTCTGATTTGGGTTTATATTGTGAGCTAGTTTTTCTATGTTGTGGACACGTTAAATCTCTGTATTAGGCTCATGAAGTGGGTGTTATCCTTTAGAGAGTAATCAAATTACCATTTCTTTTAAAGAAAGGCATTCCTGAAGACCACTTATCTGTTGGTTAGAATATATATCCTTTTGAAGATGAAAAAGTTATTGATGGTTTTGATTGTGCTTACATCGTAATGTCTAGATGTATTTGGCTTACAAATATTTTGGTTGATCCCAAGATAAATGGAGATGAAAATGGCACCGTAGAGTTCATTTATGAACAACAATACACCATTGGTAATAACTTGTAAAATTATGATATCTTCCAAACTGTCTGAGAAAATGCTTGTATTCAATACCATTTTGCTTGCTAGAGCTGTGTGCTATTATGAAGATGCTCTCTTAGACCTACATTTTTTTCTAGAGCTAATACCTTCTTCTGGTAAGTCACATTCACCTCAAGTTAAAATTCTTATTGCATTCTGCAGATTGTAGTAGGTGGAAGGAATAAGTATCTGATTAACGGGCATCTTGCTCAGCCCAGTCGAGTTCAGAATCTGTTCCACTCAGTGCAGCTGAATGTGAATAATCCACATTTTCTTATAATGCAAGGGCGTATTACCAAGGTGTTGAACATGAAACCTCCTGAAATTTTGTCTATGCTAGAAGAAGCAGCTGGGACAAGAATGTATGAAACAAAGAAAGAAGCCGCTTTAAAAACACTTGAAAAGAAACAGAGCAAGGTAGATGAGATTGACAAGCTTCTTGACCTTGAAATACTCCCGGCGTTGGAAAAACTAAGAAAGGAGAAGATGCAGTACATGCAGTGGGCAAATGGGAATGCAGAACTGGATAGACTCAAGAGATTTTGTATTGCCTATGAGTATGTGCAGGCAGAAAACATAAGGGATAATGCAGTTCAGTGTGTTCAAGACGTAAGAAATAAGATGTTGGAGATTGATGATACTGTTGGAAAGATGCACTCAGAAATGCAGGAGATGGAGAAACAGGTATCAGAATTGATTGCTGCAAAGGAAGAAAGTATGGGTGGTGAAATAAAATTGTTATCAGATAAAGTAGATGCTCTTTCACGGGATCTGGTGAAGGAAACTTCAGTGCTCAAAAATCAAGAAGACAATCTTATGATTGAGAAAGGAAATGCAGCCAAGGTACATGGCCTTTATTCTTTGCATTGACTCATTTTGTTATCCATATTTTCCCTTGCCATGTATTTCGGTTTGTCATTATAACTTCATTTCCGTCATTTAATGTATACAGATTGAGAGGAATCTTGAAGAGTCGAAGCAAGCAGTTGGGGAGCTGATCAATGCAGTAAAAAATGCTGAAGCAGGTGCTGCTGATCTTAAGAAAAGTGCGGAGGAGCTCTCAAAGAGCTTGGATGAGCATGAAAAGGAGTACCAGGTAAAAGAGCTTGGATTAGTTGCAGATTGAGAATGCCGTTTCTTTATTGTTGTTTGTTTGTATTATCTTGATATTATAACTAATGTACTTTTGCAGGGTGTGGTAGCAGGTAAGAGAAGTGGAAATGAAGAAAAGTGCCTTGAAGATCAATTGGGAGATTCCAAGATAGCTGTTGGAAGGGCAGAAACCGACTTGAAGCAGTTGCAAACAAAAATAGTTCACTCTGAGAAAGAACTAAAAGAGAAAACAGGTCAATTATTATCAACACGTGAGAAAGCTGCTGCAATAGAGAGTGAGCTCAATGTCAAAAGGAAAGAGGTTGAGAAGGTTAAAAATGCCTTGGAATCTAGTTCGTACGATGAAAACATTATGGAAGCACTGCAAAAGGCATGCATTTCTTCTGTTCCATATCATTGGTCTTTGTAAAAGACATTCATCTTCAACTCAACTTGTACAATAATTTATGTCAGGATCGCACTATAGAGTTGGAGATGGTGCAAAAATTTAAAGAGGAAGCGCGCACATTATCCTCACGATTGGCTAATGTAGAATTCATTTACAATGATCCACAAAAGAATTTTGATAGGTCAAGAGTGAAAGGTGTGGTCGCAAAGCTAATTAAAGTGAAGGATAGCTCTACAATGCTTGCCTTAGAGGTTACCAGTGCAATTTCTTGATATTTATTTGTTCACATTTCTCATTTTGTGATTTCCTTTGTTGTGATATCAATGATCTTCTTTATATGTTGAGATAGGTTGCTGCTGGCGGAAAGCTGTTTAATGTAGTTGTAGACACAGAAGACACTGCAAAGCTGCTTATTGAGAAGGGTGGTCTGCGTAGGAGGGTGACAACAATTCCATTAAACAAGATTCAAAGTCACCCTGTTCCACAGAGAGTTCAAAATGCTGCCACTAAATTGGTCAGATAACAACCTTCTATCTTAAACTCCATATCAATTGTTGTCTTAAAAAATAATATCTTTTTCCATCTTCAGGTTGGGAAAGGCAATGCTGAGGTTGCACTTTCTCTGGTTGGATATGACCAAGAACTACAAGTATGCTTCCACATGAACAATATGATATTCAGTCAATGTTTTTTGTGTTATCTCTCTTTTTTCTTTATCTATTTTGTGAAATTGTTTCAGTCATTTATCCCTTCACCTTTGACAGTTAAACTCACTAGCAACTTTTTAAGTAATCATATGCAGTTTTCAAAATTTTGTTACTGTTTTGTGTTCCAAAAGAAAATACAAGTGTAACTTAGACTACACACATCCAAATTCTAGGTTAAATTTTAAGTCTGCTTCTTTTCTTTTTGGTAAAAGTAAAGGAATGAGGAATTGAATGGGAGGGGAAGGAAAGTACTATAGTTTTGATACTTCTCATATTTGATGGGTTTTACATAGTGCCCGAAATTGAGCAATCAAACCCATAGAGGTGTATACACCAACCAATAATTTTCTTTCCATTCCCTTTCCTTATTCCCAATACCCCATTTCTTGGTCACCACTTATTTAATGCAAACTGATGTAAGTTATAACATTTTGAGACCTTTTAACGCAATGCAGAGTGCTATGGAATACGTGTTTGGATCAACATTTGTCTGCAGAACAAGAGATGCTGCTAGAGAGGTATGTGTATCTGCCAAGATGTTTATATGAGCTGAAATGAAACTTTGATGTGAATGTATGGGGCACTGGTGTTATATAGATTATAGAGTAAGAGTTAGCATATCATATAGGTAGCTGTGCTTCAGCATGTACAATAGCCATCAAAGCCTGGTACTTGATGCAAATTATATGATGAAAGTGGAGGAAGAGGGTTCTTGTTGCCAAACCAAGATGAATGTAGTTTAAGAATTTTTTTAGTTGCACTGTGTATTTCCACATGTATAATTCTGTCATAATCAGGCAATTGTGGAACTAAAACTTTTAAATGCTGTTGTCTTTGTTCAATATGTTTTTCTAACTATATGTATGATCTTAATAATTGGTGTTCACAGGTCACTTTTAGTAAGGAAACTGGAGTACCAAGCGTCAGCTTGGAAGGTGATATTTTCCAACCGAGTGGACTTTTGACTGGTGGTAGTCGTAAGTAAGTGATTCTAGCTTCTTTCTAGTATTGAAATTTCTATTTATTCAATATATTCATCAAGATTTTAAATATACTTTTGGCATGCATTTTCTTGTATACAGTTGTTTAATTTTCATATGCTTTACTGACTTAATATTTTAAAACTCTACTCATAATTTCAGAGGTGGAGGTGACCTATTGAGACAGCTTCATGCTTTGGCAGAGGCTGAATCAAAAGTTTCTTTTCATCAGAAGCGTTTGTCAGAAATTGATGCTAAGGTTGTCTTGATCCTATATCTTCATTTCAATTTCGCCTCAAATTTAAGAAATATAAGGGAAAAGGGGGTTTTGCTAAAACTGAGGCTAAATTTCCCTATTGCATCAGATTATCGAGCTCCTGCCTCATCAACAAAAGTTCAATGACCTTAAAACACAGCTGGAGCTCAAGTCACATGATCTCTCACTCTCGGAAAATAGAGCTAAGCAAAATGAGCACCATAAGGTTGTGCCTTAATTCTTTATCATGTGATTTATGCTGAAACATTCAGTTTTGGTAATTTCCATTGTTAAACCACACATGCTTTATCCAGTACTCCAGATTGTCTGATTATGTTGTATGGTATTTTTTTATATCACTATAGTGATCAATAGTTTTGTTTGTGATGTAGCTCAGCGAGTTAGTTAAGAAGATCGAGGAGGAGCTTAGAGAAGCAAAATCAGCTATCAAAGAAAAGCAACTTCTGTATGAAGAATGTGTAGCTAAAGTATCAGATCTTGAAAAATCAATCCATGAAAATGCTGGAAATAGAGAAAGTAGACTTAAGGATTTAGAGAAAAAGATAAAGGCAATTAAAAATCAAATGCAGGCGGCTTCTAAGAACCTCAAGGTATGTTTTGTTGAGATGTCTAACTGGGTAATTGGTGAAGGCAACTGATTTATTTGAGACACTCACCACTACATAAGCACCTTATTTTCTACTTTCCCAAAAATGTTTGTAATGATTAGTTGAATTCTATGATTGGTTAAAATGATAGCTTACTGAACATAACCGATTGCAATAATTTTCAGTTTATCTAAAATATTGTATTTCCTTAGCATTTGTTTAAACTGAACAACTGTATCACACCTATTCTCATTACTTGAACACTTAGGTCCACGAGAATGAACGAGAGAGGCTTATAATGGAGATGGAAGCAGCTCAAAAGGAACAGGCTTTATTGGAGAGCCAATTAGCTGCTTTGAAGAAGCAGACTCATGATCTTGATACAGAAGTGGATGCTCAGAAAGCCAAGGTAAATTAAATACAGTGAACTGCCACTTGAGTCACTAAATCTCTGCCAGAAGATCTTATTGATCAAATGTTTTTGTTGCAGGTGTCTTTAGTGAAACAGGATCATGATAAGGCCCAATTGGAGCTCAATATGGCCCACAAGAAGATGAAGGAATGTGATACACAGATTTCTGGAATTGTCAAGAAGCAGAAGGGAATCCAACACAAGATCAGTGAGGCTAACCTAGAAAGGAAAAGAATGGAGAATGAGGTAATTTGTTTGTTTTGGTTCTTGATACAGCTCCTCGACAATTACAATACTTATCTCTAATTTTTTTGGCTGTAGGTCAAACGCATGGAGATGGACCAGAAGGATTGCTCATCAAAGGTTGAGAAATTGATAGAGAAGCATGCTTGGATTGCATCTGAAAAGCAACTTTTTGGACGAGCTGGGTCTGATTATGATTTCAATTCCTGTGATCCTCAGAAGGCCAGGGAAGACTTTGAGAAACTCCAAGCTGCCCAATCTGGGTGAGATAATTGTGCTATATATTGTTAGCTGCATGTGTTCAAACCAAATGAGAAAGGAAGAAACATGCTCTAATATTTTTCTCTCCACATTTCCTATTCTAGTCTAGAGAAAAGAGTGAATAAGAAGGTGATGGCCATGTTTGAGAAAGCTGAGGATGAGTACAATGACTTGATATCTAAGAAGAACATTATTGAGGTTAGCTATATTAAATAAAGATACAATGCTGTTTGCTTCCATTTTCGTGTTGTTTATGCAGATATCTCCAATGTAGAATGACAAGTCCAAAATCAAAATGGTAATCGAAGAACTTGATGAGAAGAAGAAGGAAACACTGAAAGTCACTTGGACTAAAGTTAACAAGTAACTCCATTTTCCTCCCAAATAGCTAGCTGTATTCTTTTACTCATTTCTCTCAATTTTTGTTATGATCGTACTTGATATCCCACTACTTACCTGGTGCTTCTTTATCCAGAGATTTTGGATCTATATTTTCAACTCTTTTGCCTGGCACAATGGCCAAATTGGAACCTCCTGAAGGAGGCAACTTCCTTGATGGTTTGGAGGTTCGTGTTGCTTTCGGCAGTGTGTGGAAACAATCCTTGTCTGAACTTAGTGGAGGGCAAAGATCTCTACTGGCGCTTTCTCTGATATTGGCTTTGCTTCTTTTCAAACCAGCTCCATTATATATACTGGATGAGGTATGCATTATTTGTACCTTCTCATCTTTTGTCTGTTTTGTTATACATGGTTGAACTATCTGCTGAGTGAGTCGAACTCTGTCCAAAGATTGGTCATTCTCCCTGCCTCCCGATGGCATTGGTGGGGAATAAGCCATTCGTGTTATTTACCTTTTACTGTCTTGTTTTGTGAATAAAATTTTACATTTTAGATTCAATCCAGAGGTGGTGTATTTAACTAATATTTCTGGAATACGTTAGGTCGATGCAGCTCTAGATCTGAGTCACACTCAGAACATTGGAAGAATGATCAAGACTCACTTTCCACACTCCCAAGTAAGTTTATCGGTACACTTGATAAATTCGCCTCGTATTACCATACATTAGCTTCCAAATTCTATAATAGAAATGTTCATGCAAAAATATTTTATCTTAACCACATTATTCAAAGATGTTATCCACATTATATTATCTTAACCAACCAATCTGTTGTGCATCGTTTCATCAATTAAATAACGCTTGTCCCGTGTGCCAACTACATTCTTTGTCTTTGTTATTTAACTACTTCACCCCCTCACTCCCCCCTTGCAGTTCATTGTGGTTTCACTGAAGGAAGGCATGTTTAACAATGCCAATGTTCTTTTCCGGACGAAATTTGTGGATGGTGTCTCCACTGTTCAGAGAACTGTGGCAAATAAACAAAGCAAGTGATTAGAGTGTCACCTGGTAAGCATCACACATAATACTATAATTTTGTAAAATTTGTTGTTAACAATGGAACCGATCTCAAGTTTTAGCTGGATACTCATACGTGGTCAGAACATAGAATGTAGTTCTATTCCTCAACATTTCCTTAGTAAATATCAATTTTACAAATATACAGTGGATTTTCCTGAATTGATAGCAAATCTATTCAATATAAGCAGTTGTGCAGATAACACTAAAACCAATAAATCTTCTAGTGATAAAATATGAGAAAGCATTCACTCTTTCCATTTGATGATTCTTGATTTAACATTAGGTACTTTTGTTATCTCATTTTGTCATAGTTTTCGAAGTTTCTTGGTGAGTTAATTGATCATAACTTTCCTGCACAGGTAATGAAGCCCCACCCCGTGGAGTTTTAGGGATCAACTGGGGGCTGTAAACCGGACAGTTAATGTTATATATTATGCTCTTGTAAAATCCATTAACCAAATTTCGTTGTATATAATAAGCCCATGACTGCTGCATTTGCAAAACATACACCAATGAGCTCTTGAGGATAAAATTATATACCTTTTGTTGTCAAAAGAGCTGATTTTTTTATTTTTTTTTTTGGCAACTTCGTTATCCAACTTCTGGTGTAGTATGGTTATGAGGTTTTAGCATTGTAGTAAAAATGTGGCTAAAAATTGTACGTGTTAACTATTTGATATTATTTTCGTAGTTTTATCTGTTAGTTGTTCTTACGGAGGCTTTGCCAATTTGTTACTCAAATCTTCTTGATTTGATTTGATACGAATTTGCTTGTGTTTGTGACAACTTTACTATGTACCTAAAATAGAATCTTAAATTTGCCGTCAAAAAATGCAACTCAACCCTTGAAATTGAGATCTAAAGCGAAAATATATAAAAAATGAAAAACCAATTGTGTCAAGAAGGCGGTGGATATTGCTTTGATTGAGCGAATATTGTATAATCTTGAACTCACATGACAGGATTTGGCTGTAATATTTATTTATCCGGTGTACATAAGAATATTATTTTTTTATTATAAACTTGATAGTGATTTTTTTTTTTATTATACGGATTACGTGCCCGTCAAAAGCAGGATTTCATATAAACGTGCCACCTGCGGAATTCAAAGTCTTATTTATGTGTTGATATTTTTTTTTATCAATTATATGTTTTCCTATTGCAAAATTGTATTTCGTTTCATATTCCATTTAATTGAATGAATGATGCATATTCGTGATGATGACATGATGTCATTATTATATAATGTTATATACGTGTTTTCATTCAATTGAATGAAATGTGAATTTCAACACGATTTNNTTTTCTTTCCAATGGAATTAACGAAAAGAAGATTTTTTCCCGAATTTTCATGTACATTTTTAGTAATTAGCACTAGCAGCTAATCAATATCATGGTCATTACTTTGATAAAAGAGTTTGACATATTCTTACTCTTCTTTAAGATATCATGTGTGACATATTCTTAATCTTCTTTTACATCTCACATTGTGTATTTCTTATAACGTTGGTTTTGTGTTAGGCCGGCCCATAATTAGGTCGACATACTCTTTCTAAAAGTATCCATATTTTTATTAGAATTTGTTATATTTTAAAAAAATTGTAAACATAGAATAATAAAGTATGACATTTATAGTATAATTATATATTTTTGTTCATATAATATAATAGGTTGATCCGATCAATCATTTAGACTACCTCACACAAAAATTTGTGTTCTTAATAATTTGTTAAAACTAGTTTGGAAGTTCTTTCGGGTCCCTCTACAGGCTAATTTCCAATGTTTTGCTCCTCATAAATTGCTTCGCCTGAAAGCATTTATTAAAATAGACAAAAAAATGAATGAAGGAAAAAAGAAGAGCACTACATGAAGTTCAGTGATTTGAGGAAAAGTACAGCAATTTTCGTGGTATAATTATTGATAAAGACATGATTAAGCATATATTAATTTTAGATTTTTGTGGGTTTGTGATATTTTGTCGGTCTTTTATGGTTGTAATATTATTGTGTCGAGTTAAAAAGATAACTAATCTTAATATCTATGTAGACCTGAAAATTTGTACTTGAATATCGTATTATAATTTGAGTTAAAATTAGAGGTTTGGATGCTAATTAGTAATTTCACTGACCATTGTTTAGTGAAGGGAGTTTTGAAATATAGATGATGATATGTTTATATATTTTCACTAGAAGTTATACTAAATATTTATTAAACATAAGATAGTTTCTTTAAAAAATATTATTTAATTATTAGTAATATTTATGTATAACAAATTTAATATAATATATTTATAGATTATCAAATTAAGGTTTATATATCTAGTATTTCAAACTAATCATTATTACTAAGTTAGTAATTTAATTATGCAGAATGATTCATATATCATATGAATATACATTTTAAATAAATATGACACAGAAAAAATGTTCTTTAACTAAGCTATTAATTTACTCACCCAATTCATTTAGGTTCAAATTCACTAGTTAAATAAGCTAATATATATACAACTAGTACTAAGCCTAGCTAATATACACAATTAGTACTCATGTATGTGTACCATAGCTGCAAATAAAATATTGTAAGTTATGTATGTATATTATATTTATAATTATAACTTATATAAATAATATGCATATCACATTTTATAAATTTGATTATTAATAAAATTGATAAATAGAATTATAAACTATTAATTTACTCATATATGAATCACTATATATAAAGTCGACATCAAATATATGAATAACATTTTTTTTTTTACAAATTTAAGGAATATTGACTAATTGGTTAGTTGAAAGAAATTATTATTATTATGATTGATTATGAAGTTTTAAAGGGTTTGTTATTCCATTAAAATCAATTAGCTATTAAAAATTTGCTTATCGAGATAAAAATAAAATAGTAATATTGATTTTAAGATAAGTAATATGAAGAAAACATTTATGCTATAAAATTTTTTATGCGTGTATAACTTTCATAAACTTTTAAGGTGAATTTATATTTAGTTAATATTAGTATTAATTATAATATGATAAATAAGTTATAAAACCTTTATTTCATAATTAATGTAAAATGTAAAAGTCAATTTCTATAATTAAATGAAAAAACGTGGGAAAATATCATCAATTATTTGACTACAAAACAATTATATATAAATATTATCGTATCAGTCAACTCAGGTAGGTTCACTAATCACCAAATAACCCTCTCTCATACATTATGAGATGGTGGTTAGTAACGTAATAAGTTGACTTAGATCAGGTAATCTCGCATTAATATCCAAATTAATATGCTTAGCTCACTAAAATGGTTAGACAATGTGGTTACATCCATTTTTTATTTTTTGTTTTTGGCTCAGAAAATAAATGACTATCTGATTTTCTTTAGGGAAAAAGAGGCGGATCTGACTCATAAACTGAGTGGGGGCCTAATGTGTTTTTATTTTTATTTTTTAATTTTATAATAGCCTAAGTATAATACAAAAGCACACCTTCATACCCAACAATATTAGAATTCACCTCAAGTAATTTTAGATTGAAAGTAGCGCATTTTGTAATATTTTCACATACATTTTTTTGTCGAGACATTTTCTAAAAATCTCTCCCCGTAGTTTGATGTTGAAAAACAAATTATAATTTATAAAATACTTTATCTAATATCTCAAATTTTTAAGAGCCTTACAAATTAAGTTATCAATCATACCCAAATTAATATATCTAATATTAATTTTTTGAATAAATAAGAAAAAACAATCAATTAACTACAAGAATGCTATAAACATGAAAAAGTGTGTAATTTCTTTTATAAAAAGTGTGCTACCTAATATATTGTTTCTTAATTTGTATAATTTTTTATTAATGAGTTATTAACCTACTTTTTTTAAGTATTATATTTAAGTCATAGTTATTTTTTTTTTCTTTTTCAATGTAGGCCTAGGCCCACACTAATGTCCATTTAGCTACGGTCCTAGGACAATTACTTGTCAACCAACAAGTTGGACTACTTCTGTAGCAAATATTTAATTTTTCAAATTTAATTTCGAATATAATTAGGATCGACGAGTTAATTTCTAGCCCTTTGACTTGGTATAATTAAATTATGTAAGTATATAAATTAATTTTGATAGTGAATGTTTTCAAGCCAATTGCAGTTGACTTTATTGATATTCTTTAACTTTAAGTCAAAGGGCATAAGCAAACGCCACCTGACCATCCCAGACATTAAATCCCTAATGTTTCTGTCTTATAATGATATGGTGAAATCGTAAGCAAGTCTCAAGTAAATCATAAATATTAATAATGTAATGCAGTTGAAATTAGGTTGGAAAATATTTTAAGGAATTAGCCATCGGCCTAGCTACAAAAATTTGATTGACCATCACTAATAGTATTAGCTAGACTCCTAATTATTTAATTCCTAGTATAATCGAAATTCTAAATTTGACTATATAAATGATTCCCAATTGATCAGTTTGGCTAACGCTACCACAAAATAAAATGGAGAAAAATATATACATTTAAGTTACCAGTAACTACTTGAATTCCAACTGTGAACATTAATTATTGACGATATATATCTACACATATATATATATATAGGGATTGGTTCCAATGCATCCACCTATTTAAAGTGAGGACGTGAGACTCATTTTTAGCCACAAGATTTGGTACATAATGTGTGGTCAAGATTTACTCTTTTCTTTTTATTATTTTAATTATTTAAATATTATTTTGACTCGTTGACTCCGGCGTTGACCGTTGACTTCCGACGTTGACTTCCAGCATTGACCGTTGACAACTAACCTTCCAACTAAGTTAGTTTTCTGTAGTTGCTAGGTTAGTTCTATGTAGTTGTTAGGTTAGTTGTCTGTAGTTGCTAGGTTAGTTCTCTGTAGTTGCTAGTTTTTTTTTTTTTAACAAACAACGCCCCGGGAGGGCGTGGGATTGGGCTGGATCCCCAACCTGTGCATAGATCAAGACCCCAAAACGGGGGCCCAAAATATCAACAGTCTACAAGGTCTCACAAGCAAAACAAATAAAAAGAAAATACAAATTCTGTCTACGGGCTAACAGGTGCCCAAAAATAAAATGAAAATCTAATCAAATGAAAACAATAAACCTAATCTACTGAAAGCGGTAAGATGGGTATCCAAGCTGGTTCATCCGTACAAGCGTGGGAAGGCGGAGTGGAGCAGTGTCGGTCTGGAATGTTTGTGTATCGGGTATGGTGGCGCCAAGGCTGGCAAGGTAGTCAGCAGGTCTGTTCCCCTCACGGAAAATGTGTGTGATCCTGTGATGAACAGACTGAAGTAGAGCTTTAATGCGCATAAGCGGATGCTGAATCTGCCACAAGCCCTGATGGCCTGAAGTCAGGAGGGTGGCGACAGCCACAGCATCCAGCTCGATCCATATATGACTAGAGAGGTGGACAACAATCTGAAGGCCAATCTGTAATGCCTGAATCTCTGCGTCGTAACTCGAGGAGGCCTGAAGGGGCGCGTGAAAGGCAGTGATAAGTGCGCCGCTATGGTCCCGGATCAAGCCTCCTCCTCCAGCAGCTCTGGTATGGTGATCAAATGAGCCATCAATATTCAACTTGACCCACGGAGAGTCGGGTCGAAGCCAAACAACAGCTCTGGGCCGAGGGCGCCGAACAGGTGGTGGGGAAACCACCATATAGCGGTGTGGTGGCGTGCAGCCTGTCCAGTCTCGGGCCTTGAGCCTGCCCAATGCTATGAGAAGTGAAATATGTCTCTCTACCTGCAAAACAATGTGAGAAAACAAGAAAGTAATATCCCTATGCTTCGCACTATTCCTCTCTGTCCCGGTGAACCAAAGGATCATACAAGGAATGAGGAAGCCCACGTGTCTAAGGTGTGTGCTCTGTGAGAAAAACTCAGGAGCTCAAAGAAACTGTCTGTGGTGGGTAGGGATATATGTGTCCAGGTGGCAAAATGCTCCCACACTCTCCTCACAATCTCACTCTCTAGAAAAAGGTGGGTAAAGGTCTCGGTCTCATGGCGTCCAGTCTCAGAACAACACACACATCGAGAGGGGAAGGAGATCCCCTTTGCGTGTAACACAGTGTCCACGGGTATCCAGCGCAAGAAGAGGCGCCAAAGGAATACGGAATTGGTAGGGGTGAAAAGGTCGCTCCAGATGGCCTCGAAGAGAAGATTAGGCCGATCTCTCAGCCTGATCTGCTCCCAAGCCGAGGTAGTAGAAAACACACCCGATGATGTAAGTCTCCACCTCATGCCATCCGAACCGTCCCCCAAGATGGGGATCTACTGGATCTGATCTAAGAAACTCTCGCTAAAACCCGCCCCAGAGCCCAACTCCCTATCTAGCTTTCCCCTATCCCTCGACCCGTCCGTCCAAAGGTCGCTCACAAGCAGGAAGGGAGAATGTGACACCTGTCTATCCCTAGACAACGGCCTATCACCTACCCACCATTCATCCCAGAAACTAACCCCTCTGTAGTTGCTAGGTTAGTTCTCTTTAGTTGCTAGGTTAGTTCTCTGTAGTTGCTAGGTTAGTTGTCTGTAGTTGCTAAGAGCTGTCCGCATTTTAAGAGCTGGTCGCATTTGATCTGCCCCTATATATGTATATATATATATATATATATATGTATATATATATATATATATATATATA